ACCCACTTCACCTTCCCCCCTCCCCCACTACACCACACAGGCCCCAGCCCCAAATCCCTGAACCTCACCTGTCTTGAAGCAGGCAGGCTGGATGACGCTGACCTTGACACCCCAGGGCAAAAGTTCACAACTGAACGTGTCCATGAGCAACGCGACAGCCGCTTTGGAGGTCCCATAGGCAGCCAAGCACGGAAAAGGCATGTCTCCTGGGGATGGATTGGGAGTGGGCAGCTCAGCCTAGGCCAGGGGCTCCAGCACCTCTCCCCGCCCTGCAGGGGCACCTTTTCTGCTCCGGTGTGGGAGGACCCTCACCTGCTGGGCTGCTCACGGTCACGATGCGCCCGCTGGAATGGCGCAGCAGTGGCAAGAGGCCCTTGGTCATCTCAAGTGTACCGAAGAAGTTCACCTCCATGCAGCTGCGGAATGTGGACACTGGAGACAGCTCCGCATCTGCCACGAGGATGTTCTGACCCGCGTTGTTGACCAAGCCCCACAGACCTGAAGGCATGGAGCCAGGAGGGAAGCTGAGGGTCAGCTCGGCAGCAGACCTCCAACCCCTGCCCCCTCACACCTGCCGAGCCGTGCCCTTTCCTGGCGGAGCTGAGCCTACTGACCAGTGCTGGCGGTGTGGGCCTTGGTGAACTCCAGCACGCGGCTAATGTCCGCTGGCTTGGTCAGGTCCATCTGTAGCAGCTTTAAACGAGGAGAACAGCAGGCACGCAGCTCTAGGGCACCAGGGCTATTCAAATCCAACACGGTAGCCAGCACTGTGAAGCCCAGCGCATCCAGCTTCTTGGCCGTCGCCTTGCCAAAACCAGAGTCACAGCCTGGCCAGGGAAGGACAGCCAGTGAACTCCCACTGTGGCCCAGTCCGGCCTGAGACAACCCCAGGGTCACCACGGTCTGGATGGGATACAGGCCTCTGACACCCAATGTACCAGCAGTCAGCAGCCCTCCCTTCTTTTCCTGGCAGGCTTTGCCCCTCTGGCTGAGCACCTGAGTACCAACTCTTTCACAACTGTCATCTCCCTGACGACTCATAGCTACCCCATCAAACGTGGCTTATGATCCCCACTTTACAGATGAGGAAACTGAGTCCTAGTAATGCTAAGTTGCTTCCCAAAGTCACTCAGGCAGCATATAGTAAGGTCAGGACTCTATTGCAGGTCAGCCAGTCCCAGCTGAGACCCAGTCCCAGCTCTGATGTCCTTCTGTCTGGTCGATATCAGGCCTCAGCTCGCATGCGCAGTATTACTGCACAGCCTCCCTTCCTTTCTCACTGCCTTTGCCCAGGCTTCTTCTTCTTACCTGGACACTGAAGCAGCTCCCTTTTGTAGTGCTGTCCCATCTTGCCCCCTTGGATCCATTCTCTACCTAAGCAGCCAGAGGGATCCTTCCAAAAATGACAATATCCCTCTGCTGCTGAAAACCTCTCCAAGGCTCCCCACAGCCCTTAGCAGGAAGCTGAAGTCCTCTATTCCCATCATCCAGACCCTGTACAACCTGAGAGCCACCTTCCTTTCCAGCCTCAACACCCTCAACTATTATTCCTGGCTCTAGGCAAGTTGGAGGCCCATCCGTACTTCACCCCTGACCACCACCCTTGGAATTCCAATCAGTGGCAACACTGGAGCATTCTCTGAGCCCCAGACCACTTGCCCCCAGGACAGGGGCACAATGGATGAAGATAAGAACAGATCTGCGTTAGAATCCCTTCCCATGCCCACCAAGTGTGACCTGAGGTCAGTTACCACTCTTGAAGGCCTAATTTCCTGTCTTTGGTATGTAGAGAGATGAACCACCAGGCAGAGCCAGCCAGTGGGTCTGATAAACCCCTGCTTCCTTGATTGTTCCCATTCCAATCCGGCTCCACGGGTGGCCAACCAGGGCTGGGAGCAGTGAGGGAGGAGGCTCTCTGGAGCCTGCCCCTGTGGTGGTCTTGCTGAGCAGAAGCTGCAAAGTGGTTCTGCACAACGAGTTCCCCCCATTTCAGCCCTGTCCCCTCTGTTAAGGCAGAGAACAAAGCTAGGCAGGGGTCTGCAAGCTGGGATTTGTGTGGCTGGGGACCCACCAGCAAGCCCCAGTGGAGGGGTATTTCCTGGGCAAGTCTGGCTGGGGGAGGGGAGTGAGCGCCCTTGTGTGTATGTGTGTGTTTGTGTGTGTGTCCCCATTTGCCTAAGCTCCCTTCCAGAGCAGACAGCCCCTTCACAGGGAAACTGAGGCCTTCCAGAACCTCAGCTCTGCGGTCCCAACACAGTCACCCAAGCCTTTCACACCCTCTTGCTCACCTGCACACACATTGCGATACCTGCACATAACTCCAACCTACATGCAGTGAGCCATGAACAACAATGGGCTCACTCCCATGAGACCCCAGCAGTGCACAGCTGTGCACACAAGGCACCCAACCACTCAACCCAAACCCTGACCCCAGGGCTGAGCTCCCCAAGTAGCCTTGGCCAGCGGTTCTCAGGGAGGGGTGGGTGGCAGCTCTGGCAGCCTCAAGACACAGCGTTCCTAGCAGGTGAGGCAGGGCCTGGTCACCTACTTGTCTGGCAGTCCGTGGTGAGAGAGGAAACCCCAGAGTTTGGGGGCATTGGGAAGCTTGGAGGCCTACTCTTGATGCTTACGTGGGGTGGGCTGGGCAGTCTTCTTCCCCTCCTCCCTCACGGGGCTTTGCAACCAGAGCTGAGGGAAGCCCAATTCACAAAAGGCATCCCTCCTCTCACCTCACTCTCAGGCTCGAGGCTAGGAGATGTAACAGCGGCAGCACAAAGGCCTGGGGTGAGATCCCAGGAAAGACTGCCTGGGTCACTAATATCTGCAGATGGCCTGGGTCCTGTTGAGATAACTCATTAATTAGAAGGCAGGAGGGGAGCTGCCTCATCCCTGGGGAAAGAAGCTCCCTGCTTCAATACCAGGAGGTCTGTCATCTCTCCTTCCTTAAACCACTAAAACTGGGGTCCCTTGAAACTTCACACTCCACCCTGAACTAGGGTCTCTCCCATCCAGCCTGAGCCCTGCTCTGTCTCCACCATCTTAACTGAAGCCCAAACCCTCATGCCACCTTCACCCACCTCAGTACATTCTGGCTTCTTGCCAGGCATTCAAGGCCCCTTCCAAGGAAACAACCTTATATCCCACCACATCTCAGCAGCCAGACTGGTTACTGACTGTCCCCTGCCCAGGCCATGCTCATTCCTGCCTCAAGCTTCTATCCCACACCCTTTGTCTAATCCAAAACACCTTCCACACTCCACCTATCTCCACCCAGCCTCTGAGGCACAGCTCAAGGATGGCCTCCTCTGGGAAGTTCTTCCAGCTCCATCTGATCATGCAGGGCCCCCTGCTATACTGAGGTCTCCGAGAAGCCAGTCAGCCGGTGGCTGCCCCCAGCCCAGGCCCAATGCAAGGGCAGAGCCCTGAGCACCTGTCCAAAGCCATGGGGGTTAGGGGAGAGACCGGGCTGCCCCTCCTCCATACAACGGAGCCAGTGCCCACTGGCCTTTCTCCCCCTCCCCACTTCAGGCTGGGCCTCAGCTTCTCCTTCCCTCCTTCTGATGACAGATTTATTCCTTGCTCCACACAAAGAGAGCTCAGCCAGGTGACCAGAGGCACCTGAGCCCAGCTCTCCAAGACCTCACCTCCTTCCTGGGCACAGAGGACCAGGAGGAATGGTGGTGGCGTGCTGGGTGCAGACTCTGGACAGCTACTTCAGCAATTTAGGTTTGGGTGGTGGGATCTGAGAGGCAGCCAAATGCCCAGCTGTCCCTCATGATGACCTCAAGCTTTTCTGGACTCCAAGGAGCCCAGACAATTGGGGGTCCTAACTCTTCATCTAAGCCTATTCCTCTAATCCCAGGGAAGAGGAGATGGTACCTCCCACGTGGGGATGTTAGGCAGAGTTCAAAGGGTGACCATCCTCTGAAGTCCCTCAGAGCAGTGTCCTCTGTCCAAAGACTGCTCTCTTGGACAGGGACATAGCATAAACCCCAAACTCCAGAAGGCTCCTTCTTTCTTAGCTACAAGTTTCCCCTGTGCACCTGCCCGCTCCCTGCCTCATTCTCCCTCCAACACTCCCTGAAGCCACAGGTAGTTAACCCGGACTTGGGGAGGTGCCCTGCTTTTCCTACTTGGCTGGTTCCCTGCACCCAGGGGAGAGGGACTCCCCCACTCCTGGGCTAGGGGTCCCGCCTTGCCTTGGCATGCCCACGGGGAGCCCTCTGAGTGTCCGGTCCCGCCCTCGAACCTGGAATCCCCGCGCTCCGCGCCCCGCGCACTCACCGGTGATGAGCACCGCGCGAGTCGCCACGGGCAGGCGCTGCGGGCGCGCCAGGCGGGACAACACGATCCAGCCGGTGGCGGCCAACACAGCAAGTGCGGCCAGCGGGGGCAGCAGGCGCTGGCACAGCCAGTCGAGCGCGGCCAGCAGCGCCAGCGCCGCCAGCAGCGGGCGGCCCAGACGCAGGTCCGCGCGCAGCAGCTGCAGCAGCGCACGGGCCGCCACAAGCAGCCAGGCGCCGCCCGACGGCCAGGGCCAGCTCTCCATGGCGGCCGGGCCGGGCTGGGCCGGGGCGGGGCAGGGGCCGGGCTGGAGAGCAGGGATTGGGACTCGGGGCCGGGGCGCGGGGTGGTGCAGAACACCAGCCAGGGGCGGGAGAGATACTCGCTTTCTCTGTTAGCCCTCGGGCCGAGTTTATAAAGAGCCCCGGGGGCGGGGGCGAGGGCGGAGCGGAGGCGGGGAAGGGGCGGGGCTTTCCTTTACTTCTCTCCTCTCACCCACTGCCCGGCAGGTGCCCCCACCTCTACCTCCCGCCCTCTACCACGCCCCCGAGGCCAGATCCGCTTTCGAAGAAGCCGGAACCGAGTCCCAAAGTTGCTGCTCGAGGAGCAGCCGCCTCGCCACCCGCCGCGCCCGGGAGAGGTCCGGTCGGTCTAGCCCTAGTGCCCCGCATCCGCTCACTCCTGCGCCCCGACATGTGCGCCCTGGGCGGCTGAGCCGCGGCTCCCAGGTGAGCACATCCACAGCTCACACTTGCTCGGGACGCCTGAGGACACGCGCAACCTTCAGCCAAGTTCCCCACACTGACAGCACCGCCGCGGTCGCCGGGCTTGCCGGAACACCGCGGGCAACCAGCTCGCCCTCACCAGGCAGCCGCGGCCAACGCCGGCACACGTAACGTACTCGGACGCCCTGCGCCGCTGCAGGTGCCTGGCACACACGCCCTGACGTGCTCTCACACCTAAGCTGCCCGTAGCCACCGACCGATTTGGGGCAGGGGGCTGGGGGGAGGAGGGTGACCGACCGGGTTCGCGAGTCTCTGCCCCGCCTTCCCTCTTCCTTCCACTTTCCAGCCCTGGGGATGCAGCAACCTCACCTCCTCCTGGCACACAAGTGTATATGTGTGGGCGCGGGTGTGTGGAGGCGCGGTTCTGAGGAAGCATGTAGGCCTCCCATTAACTCCAGCCCACCCTCCAACCCCAGGGACTCCAAGAGCCTGGCCAATGGGGACACCTGGGGAGTCAGTGAGGGCAGCCTCTAGGACAGGGTGATCCCTGCCCTGCTCTTAGGATTCCCCAGGGTATAAAATAAGTGAATGTGGGTGCATTTCCCTGCCTGTGTGTATGAAGTTCTGTGTTGATGCGGGGCCTAGTGGCCCCCCACCTTGCCCACCCCAGTGTCTGGCACCCTGTGCTTGGCATCCATGCCAGACTCTGCAGGCACTAGGAGTTGGTGTCAGTACCTTGCTGCCAGGTCCTGTGCTGAGGTCAGTAGGTCAGCCCATGGCAGAGGGGTCCCTGCTTCTTATGGACCCTTGCCCAGTGCTTCATCCATGCCTGCACTAGGTCCTTGGAGGTCATGGACCCCTCCCAATCCTCTTGCCCATTCTCTATCTTAGATGCTCAGCTAGTGTGCCAGGGCTTCAAGGCAATGCTTCCTCCAAAGCCTTCTCTGCCATACAGGCATGGCCCCCTGATGAGCCGGGGGAGTCTCAGGGATGGGCTGGGAGTCAGACCCACTTAAGGGGAAGGTGAAGGACCCATGTCCTTCCCAGAGCCACTTCTGTGCTTCCACCTATTCCTCCTCCTGTAAGTACAGGTTACAAGCTAGCCCTGGCCCAGGGAGGCAGGACTTGCCTGGGGAGGTCCTGCCTGACTTTGGGTACATGACCTTGTGTGCCTGTGTATGCCTGTATTTGTGTACACTCGTGTCCGTGGGCTCCATAGCTTGTCCATACACAAATGACATGTCTCTCCCTGTGCCATAACCCTGTATGTGCATGTAAGTACATGTGTGTGTGTGTGTGTGTGTGTGTGTTGTGTGTGTTTTCAGTGACTCCCTTGGTCTGGGTCCGTTCTCTGGAAACTCAGGGAAACATTCACCCTCCAAAACCTGCTGACTCCTGTTGTCCTCAATCTGTGTCCCAGTCTCAGAGGTGGACACAGCACCCTTGACCTGGCCTCCTGATCTGAGCTGTAGACCCTGGGTTGGTGGGACCCTCCCCTCCCAGCTCTAGTTGTCCTACTGAGAGTCTGGCTGTGATTTCTCCAGCTTCAGACCATTAAGGGCTTCCCCTTGGGACTGCAAAGGGGATGTAGAGGAGAGGAAGAGGGGTCCCAGGCAGCTTTCAAGGTCAAGGCCACACAGGTAGTGCCAGTGCTTGCCAGAGCAGGAGTCAAAGGGTAGGGAGGTGGAAGTGGGAAAGCAAGGTGAAAACAGAGTCTGAGAAACAAGATGTTACACTGTCCTGGGGAGGAAACATGAAGGATCCTGACTCATTGGGAAGCCCACGACGGGGAGAGAGACTTGCTGAGAGGGGATGTAGGGAATTGTCTTTGGTTGTGGAGTCTAGGATGGCTAGGATGGGCTGGAGGTATTGCCTGTTCAGCTTCTGGGACACTGTGCCACCTTAGACAGAAATATTAGCCTTGCATGGTTTGGGTCTCGTGGGACTGGATGATCTGTCACATTTTTATTTAACCTGCCCCTCCAGAAATTCATCCTACGTCCTAGGCCAGGCGGCCAGGAGGCCAGGTGGTCAGGCCTCCTTCCCAGGATCTATGCGCCAGCCCCCTGTGACCTCCTCAGCCACTGACCCCTTACCTCGCATCAGGTGGAGACATTCTGGAAGTAGAAAGAAGGCGGTTCAGGCAGTCATGACTGGGAGGGGCTGGCCCAGCCCTGTCTGAGGCCTGGTGCCAGGCTGTGGCTGCCCAAGGGCAGAGAACCAGCCTCTGCCAGAACCAAGAGTCTGGGCTGGCAGGGTCCTCCAGGGAAGAGAAGGGAAGGGGGTGGGGGCAGACGGCAGGAGCCCCAGCAGATAAGGCCAGGCCTGGCAGGGGCCGAGGAATGAAGGGCAAGAAGAAGGAGCAGAGCCCCTGAGCCACCCCACCTCTAAGCCCTCAACCCATAGTTTTCCTTCGTCCTTAGTCTCACCCCTCGCCACCCCCCCCCCCCCCGAGTCAGAAACCTGGTGGGCCAACCCCCCCCCCCCCCCCCTGTGCCCCAGGCTCCGGAGGGCCGTGCGGTGGCCAGGGCCTGGCAGGCTGGCCCCGGCCTGTTCCTGCCGAGCCCGGCGGCTCACTGGCCCCATCTACTGGCCTTTGGGGGAGGGCATGGCTCTGAAAGGAGTACCGGGAAGGTAACCAACTGCTGGACCTGAGGATGGTAGGAACAGAAATCCAGGATGGGGTGTGCCAAGTGGCAGTCTCTGAGAGCTCATGTTCTGTTCCCTGACCACACCAGGTTTCTGCAGCCAAGCACTCACTTATCACCTCTTCTTCCTTCCTCTGTGGTCAGGCTGTGGAAGCCTCACGCTCAGTCCCTCCCCCACCACGAGCTCATCTTCAGGTTCGGAGGCAGCAGAGTCCCAAGGAGGCCCTGCCTTGTATTCTGCTTACCCCCTGGCACCCCATCACTCCTCCCTCCTGGCACAATGGCAGAGGGGAGCCTCTTCCTGCCAATGGCCAATCTTTCCACCCGAGTTCCAGACCCCACCCCTCCCCGTCCTCACAGGGAGCAAACTTTTATTGAGTTCCTACTTCATGCCGGGCCCTGTGCTGCGCACTGTGGCTGTCATAACTAACCACTGGCTCCCTCCCAGCAGCATGCACGCTGGCTCGCTCTGGCCTCTCCCTCTGGTAATCGCAATAAAGAACTTCTCTCACTCAATCCTATATCCCTTTCCCCAAGCATTGTTCTCATGCTCCCCGCCACCATTCTCAGCCGCGTTTCTCGAAAACTGTCTATAGTCACCATCTCCCCTCTCCGCTCCCCACTCTAGCTCTGAGTCAGCTCCCGCTCCTGACCACGCCAAGGGTCGCCAATGATGACATCCTAGTCCTCACGTACCATGGATACACCTCTGCTTTCAGTTAACTCCTCAGTACCCCAGGCCCTTTCTCCCTTTGGCACCTGCAAAGCCACTGCTGCTGGGTTTCCTCCTACCTCTCTGGCTCTCCCTCTCAGCCTCCTTCACAAGCTTCTCTTCCCTGTGGGTGAACCTCTGGCTGTGGAAGCCTCATGCTCAGTCCCTCCCCCACCATGAGTTCATCTTCCTACTCACATATTGGCGACTCCCATGCTTCTTTCCAGCCAAGGCCTTGCTCTTAACTCCAGGCCCACATGTCCAGCTGCCCCCAGATGCCTCCCGTGGACACCCATAGGCCCCTTACACTCAGCATGTCCAAAACTGGCCTCATCATCTCCCTAGTTCTGGCAGCCGACCCCTCCTACCTCATCCTCAATCTTCATTCCATGCACTGGCCTCCAAACCTCTTGCTCTGCCCCAAGCCCTGGGTTGGGGTGCAGAAGCCTCACAATAGCCCTTTGTAGTGGGTATCATCATTACTATTTTACATTCAAGGAAACTGAGGCTTCTGGAGGCTAGGAAAATTGTTCAAGGTCTCAAACTCAGGTTCACTTAAGTTTGAATCTTGGACCAGCCCCAAGATTCAAAATCAAGTGTACCAGAGCCCGAAGTCTGGCTCTGTTAATGCAGAGCTAAGTTTGCCACATGTGCCCTCTTAGACTTCATTCTGAGGGCAAAGGAGAGCTGGGAGTAGTCTTGAGCAAATAAGGCCCCTGTCCCAGTTGGCCAGGAAATGGGTTTGGGGACAAGGAAAGAGGGGAGGCTGGGAGTCCTGTTGGTGCATCCCTACGAGGGACAGAAGCAAAGGTCTGTTTTGGATAAACAGCCCGAAGTGCTCGTGGACATGTGAGGGCTGAGCCCAGAGGTAGCTGGGTGCCCATGGTCCCCAGCACGTCACTCACGTGGCACAAGAGCCTGGGAGACTGCCAACTCACCAGGCATGAACTGAGTCCCCCATCCCTCTCCTCTAGGCTGTGCACCTGGAAGTCAGGCCCTTCGCTTACTGGGGAGAAGGGTTGGGGAAATGCAGGAAGCCAGGAGTATCACTTGCATTTTCAAACCGTGTCCAGCCCCCTTCTCTGAACTTCTTTTCTTTTGCTTCCAGGATTGAAGGCAGGTATTTGGGGATCAGGGCCCTCGAGTTTGGAAAACACTAAGAGAATTTGCTCTAAAGGGTTTTGTGGACCAGCCCCAGGGGAAAGGCAAGCCCCAGCTGAGAACACTTGCTGGGACAGCTTGGTTAACTCCAGGTGAAACTGGTCTTCTTGGGTCCTGCAGTGAGGCTCTGAGTTATTCATAATCCTCTACCACATTTACTATGTGCTTGCTGTGGGCCAGTCCTTGTGTTTGCCTTCCTCATGCTTAATTTTATTTACTATCCTCACATTATCCCTATGATGCAGGTACTACCATTCTATACATTAGAAAACAGACTCAGAGAGACTCAGTGACATGCCCTAGGTCACTCAGCCGTCCAGACACTCTGCTCCCAGCCATCAGGCAGCACTGCCCCCTGGCCTTCAGCCTAGGAGGTTGGCATTTTTCAGTGGGCAACCGCCAGGTGAAAGACTATCAACCTTTGAAAATTTGCTTCTGGGAGTTTAGGGGTTTTGAGCATGAGCCACCCATTTTTCTTGCTTGGCCCTGCGCTAAAACTTTTTCTGCTCCAAAACATTTTAAAAAGTAAAATAAAATAAAATAAAATTTGCTTCTGGATTAGAAACATGTCTCCCAATGGTAGAATTAAGGCAAGTTGTTAAAACTAATTCCAAAACTTGCTTCCTTACAACTTCCATCACCCTGATTCAGGCCTTTTCTTGGCAGAACAACTGCAAAAGATACAAAAATTAGTTGCTGTTGGCTGGCTGGTTTAATTTATTTGCATATACATAATTCAGTCCCACCCCTTGTGGCTAATACCCTCCTTGGGGAGCTGTGGCTGTTTTCTGATTGCTGGTGGGGAGGCCTGTGTGTGTTGTTTTTTCAAATAAACTGAAACCAGATGGAGGGGGTTTTGTTCACTGCCCTGCCTCCAATTTTCTCCAGCAAATTCCTTGAAAAGCCAACCACCTATGAGTGGTGCCTATTCTCCTTGGAGGTCCCTCACCGCTGGTATGCAAATAGCAAGTGGGGCTGGGATTTCTAAAAGTGAAAACAAAGAGAGGAGAAAGAAGCTTCTTGGCGCAAGGGCTTTTGGGCACAGGGCAGGGTCATCTCCCTGTGGAGTCCCGATTTTCGGTCTGCACTTACAGTTTCTGTCCTCATCTCCTTCCCTCTCCCCTGAGTTGGGAATTGAGCTGGGCTTGAGTCAAAATCACCTGGACCAATCACTTGGTGAAAATATGGATTTCAGAGCCCAATCCACACCTCCTTTGCAGCGCTAACCACTGGCACGAGACCCCAACTCTCAGGATGGGTTGATCTTTGAGTCAGTGGAGAGGGTTATCTTCTAGAAGGGGCCCAAGCCACTCTTGCTTTCATCCTGGGAAGACCAGTTGCTTAAGATGGTTATAGAAATATTTTTAACCGCCAGCCAGGTCTAAGGCTTTGTAATGCCCCTCGAGCACCTCATCAAGAGATTCCTAAAAAAAAAAGAGATTCCTTGTTCAGAGCGATAAGCAAGGGTACGCACTGGTCACAGTGCCAGGGGTTAACGTTTTTCTTTGGAAGTTGAATTGTGCATTGTCATAGTGAAGTATGACCCAGTACCCAGGCTGGGAGAACACTTCTTTCCCAGCTCCAACCTTCATTCCTGCTCATATCTCTGTTCTTTCGGATTCCAAGGCTTTTTAGATAATTGTGTCAGGTTACATAAGCTTTCGAGATATGAACACTCAAAGGAAATTCCTCTGGGAGCAGGCATGAGGGGTTCTACCACATAGTTTGCTTTAAAGTATTTGAGGAAAAATTCAGGTGCCTCAGCCCTGCACATTTCTGAAATAAAGTAAGAATAGTCAATGACTTTGTATGCATGTACCATTCCCCATAGAAATGAGGAAGCAAAAAGACAGATATCATGCTGAATAGAGAAACCCCTCCCAGGGGAGCATGTGCAGGGCCAGGTGGAAGCCAGTTGCAAAGAGGGCAGCTTTGACCGGGCTGCCATGGAAATCCTTATCAGCACAGGGTACCTTTTATTTTTTTCCCCTTTCTGCATCTGAGATAACACACGTGGCAAATACAGGCCTTCCATTTTCCAAGAAACATAAAATAAAAACTGAATTACTGGCAGAGAAGCTTTAAAATCTTTGGTTCCTAGGATACTGGGAATACATTCTCCACACACCCGTGATCTTTATTTCATTTGCCTCCGAGGGATAGCCCTGCATCATCTCTGTTGCATAAGGTGCTGTTTCCAAACACCTTGTTCCTAACTGGAGACACAGAATAAGTTTTATCTAGGTCTGAGAGAGTTCTTGGAGGGATGACATCGTGTTCCAAGCTGCACTGGTCAGAGTCAACAGTGAGAAAGCTGCCAGAGTCTTCTCACCAAGGAAGCTGAGAGAATATTGTAAATACCAAATGGCACTTCTTTCTTAAAGCATAAAATGGTCACAAACACTACTTAACAAGGAAAAATTAATGGGAGGAAAACGTCTTGAATGTAGCAAATAAAAAAAAATCTTTACAAGGGACATGGAAATAATAGATTTACTATGATGAAGGGACGATAATATAGGAAAGTCAATTTTTACACCAAAAATAATTCAACAAGTATTATTTACCTTACAAAAGGCTTCACAAAAGAATTCCTATAAGTAGCTCTATCCTTTCATTTGTTTGTTCCCTCCTTCGTTCATTCAGCAAACATCTACTGAGTGCTTACTGTGTTCCAGGCTCCATGCTTAGGGAAGCCATGGTGAGTTAGATAAATATTCCTCCCCTTGTGGTCTCTGTGTCTGGCTGGAGGACAGCCCCTAATCAGATCACTATGCAGTCAAGGAGCCACTACTGACAGAAGGAACTAGACAGCAGAGTCTTGTGACCTCTTCTATTCTGAGGGTCAGAGAAAGTTCTCCTGGAGGAAGTGATGTTCCAGGTATCAAACGCATCACATGCAAAGGCCCCTAGTATAAGAGGGAGTCTGGTCCTTCAGGGAAAGGGAGGTCAGGAGGCTGCAGAGGTCAGCTGGAGCCAGGGGGCAAGGGAGGTTTTGATTCTAATTTCATGGTATATCGAAATACTGCTCCCCGGGGAGCAGGGAGAGTCACTGAGAGTTGTAGCAAGAAGTAAAATAATCAGTTTGCCTTCTTTTCTTTCCTTCTTTGTTTTTTTTAAAGACAGCCACAAGCTGTGAGGAGAACGGACTGATGGGGATGGGGAGCCCGCAGTGGAAGCGAAAGACCAGTCATGAGGGTGCTATGTTTGCCAGGGCAAGAGATGCTGGCGGCCATGGGGACAAGCCAATTGGATGGGCTGACTCATCCAAGGCCCACTGGAAAGTGTACTGGGACCCAGACAAAATGGACCCAGAGAACAAGAGCCGTGGCTAACCATATCCCACCAGGTGAATTTGATAATTAAAATTTAACTCCATTTGTTAATGAAACGGAGAGGATCATTTCCTGATTGAAAGACAAGTAGGGTCTAGATTATACGTATCAATGTCCACTACCAATGGAACATTCTGTGTGCTTCACATGCAGGACCACATTTTTAGGCCTCATCGTGGCTCTATGCAGTAGCTATTGTTATCCCTGTTTCACATAGGAGCAAACTGAGATTTAGAGAGGTTAAGGAATTTGCCCAGCTGGCGACTGGCAGAGCTGGGATTGAAACAGGTAACCACCGACATGCCCTGGGACAAGTGACAAGTCCCAGGAAGCCTGGGCATACATTGGCTCTAATTAAGAATGGGCTGCTGGATCCAGCCCAGGGTGGGAGGAGCTTCCTGGGAGTCTCTTCTGGCAATTCTAGGAGTCAGGTAAGCTAGCTTGGAACCTTGTCACACACATGTGCACAAGTTCTTTAAACCACAGTTGGGTTTTTCTGTCCCTACAGCCTGGGCTGTTCACCCTGGGCAGACCTGCCTTGCTGGTCAGGGGCAGCTGCTCTGGGCAGGAACAAGTCCTGCCCTAAGAGATGACTTCTGTCCCAGAAAAATGTGTCTCATGTTTTCATAGAAACTGGCCAGAGGGGGCAGTAGGAGCTGAAACTACACTCGAAGTAAAGGGAACCCTGTGGGAAAGAGCCTGGGGTGGGAGCGAAAGACTTGGGTTCCAGGAATGGCACCAATCAGGGGACAGGGATGAGGAGGTGGACAGGAGCTCGCTGAGCTGGGCTTTCAAGCCACACTTTGGCATTTCAATTGATCCTAAAGGCAAAAGGAAGCCCTGGAAGTATCTTAAACAGAAGACTGATGAGGTGATGTTAGCAATGTGTGGCCTTCCTCGGTAGGTGATGCCCTGGGCCTTGTCAGGTTCTGGATTGGTTACCACACCAGGCTGACAGACTCAGAACACCATCAAATTGCCTGTGCCTTTAAGAAGCAAATTTGGCCAGAGGGAGTCTTCTTTTCAGAGAGCTTGGCCTGAAGTCACTCAGATAGACATCCAGGGAATCTGGGCAGTCAGTTTTGTTTCAAATGAAATAGCTTTAATTGGATAAATGCATGTATATACTTAACCCTATTTGAAACCCACTGTATTAGTTTCCTATTGCTGATACAACAAAGTGCCACAAATTCAGTGGCTTAAAACAACATGAATTTATTATCTTACATTTCTGGAGGTCAGAAGTTTGAAATGGGTCTCACTGGGCTAATGTCAAGGGGTCAGCTGACTGGTTCCTTCTGGAGGCTCTAGGGGAGGATCTGTTCCCTTGCCTTTTCCAGATTCCAGAGGACACCTGTATTCGTTGGCTCATGGCTTCTTCCTCTATCTTCAAAGCCAGAAGTATACTGTTTTCAAATCTCTCTGACCTCTGCTTTCATCATGACATATACTCCCACTCTGACCCTCACATGACTCTCTCTTATAAGGGCCCTTGTGATTATACTGAGCTCACCTGGATAATCTAGGATAATCTCTCCCATCTCAAGATCCTTATCATATCTGCAAAGTACACTTTGTCATGTGAGGTAACATATTCATAGGTTCCAGAAATTAGGATATGGACATCTTTGGGAAGCCGTTATTCAGACTACCACCCACTTTAACAAATAAAGAGAAAGAATGATAAGCCTGGCAGCTAGGAGGAGAATGGACTGGAAGCAGGCAGGCTGATGTTAGGGAGACAAACAGAAGGCTGCTGCAGAGTCAGCAAGAAAGATGCTGGTGGTCTGGGCTACAGTGGGGTGGGAAGAATGAACACAGGACGTATTTCAGAGGGAGGACTGCCTGGTCTTGGGGACTGTATGGGTTAGCTGGGCAAGGACTAGGGGGAGACTGGGTAGGTAATGGTGCCCTTCAGAGGGCCTGAAGGGAGGAGCAGGTTTGTGGCAAGGATGAAGAGGGCAGATAGGGATATGTTGCATTTAGATACCCACGGGACACCTAGAAGTGCCTGGGAGGCAGATGGACCCAGGGTCCACAAGGCTTGACTCTCCAGTCCCTCCCTTCCCTGTGGGCATAGAAGGGCTCACCCTCCACCTCGATTTCTGGGTCACCATCTCTTTTCTACCCTAAGTTCTACAATTCCAGATAAGAGTTGAGGAGTCATCTTGTATTTCTGAGGCCAGAGTAGCACTGATATTTATTCCACATCAAGTTTGAGTTTATCAGTCCTGGAAACAAGAATTTGCATGATAGAGAGATAAAGACACTTGCACAGGACCCACAATTGGCATATGACAGAGCAGGAGTTGCTATGTTGCTTTTGTTGTATGTTTGTGGCTGATAATTTTAGGGACAGGGATGTTTTCTGTCCAGCCCATTCTGAGCAGGTAGCCAGCCAGCTGCTCACCTTTTTAGGGCCTTGCAGATATGGATAGGACAGCTGGTGGAAGACAAAGTCTCTTCCTGTCTTTTGAGAAAGCCTGAGCTCATAGAACACTCACATTCTGACTGTCCCCAAGTGGAGGGGAGAGGGAGCATTCAGGGAAACCAAGTTCAGCAGGGAGGTCCCTCAGGCAGGGAAAGGGAAGAGAGTCTGCAGGCCCTGGGACAGAGGAAGTAAGTGCCTGTCCCCTGGCAGCCCCGGTGCAGCAGGCATGGCCCCACAAGGCCCAAATCTAAAAGTCCTGTAGGTGGGTGGGACAATGGCTGTGGCCTTAGTACCAGAGAGGACCCATGACCAGACAGTGCTTCCCACAGTGTTTGCTCCTGCAGGAGATCCTGAGTCCTTGGAATAACCTGGGTGAAGAGAAGACTAGTAGAGGCCAAGACTGAATTTCCCATCAGCCTGGAATATGGGAGCTCCCAGTAGGATTTATGCTTGATTCAAAGGAAATAAAGAGGGCTTCCTTGGTGGCACAGTGGTTAAGAATCCGCCTGCCAAGGCAGGGTACACGGGTTCGATCCCTGGTCCGGGAAGATCCCACATGCTGTGGAGCAACTAAGCCCATGTGCCACAACTACTGAGCCTGTGCTCTAGAGCCCGCAAGCCACAACTACTGAGCCCACGTGCCACAACTACTGAAGCCCACGTGGCTAGAGCCCATGCTCCGCAGCAAGAGAAGCCACGACAATGAGAAGCTCGCACACCCCAACGAAGAGTAGTCCCCGCTCACTGCAACTAGAGAAAGCTCGCGCACAGCAACGAAGACCCAACACAGCCAAAAAATAAATAAATAAATGTATAAATAAAGGAAATAAAGAAAGAAGATGTTATTATTATTATTACTACAACTACTATTATTTGGCTGCACCGTGGGTCTTATGGGACCTTAGTTCCCCGGCCAGAGATTGAACAGGACCAGGGATTGAACCCGACTAGGAATTGAACCCAGGCCATTGACAGTGAGAGCGCAGAGTCCTAACCACTGGACTGCCAGGGAAGTCCCAGAAAGGAGATATTTTGAGCTCTTATACTTCACACTTTATATTATGGGCCACAATATGTATACTGTATTTATTTGTCTCTAGATCTGTCTTCCCCTTAGCCTGTAATCTCCCTGAAGGACAGGGATCTCGTGGGTGTTCCCCATGGTATGTCCAGTGCCCAGCACATACTCATTAAAAAGTGTGCAGGCTGACTGAGGGTCTCCCTGAGAGGGGTGGGCTCAGGGGGGAAACTGGAGGGGAATACCTCTGGGACAAGTTAGGATTTCGAGAAGACAAGCTGTGGATTGGGGGTGGGGAAAGTCGGTTTTTGAGAAGAAATGTTGGAAAGGAACGGAGAATGGTTGGGCTAGGACGCCAGGGGGTCCCTGGTGAGCCCCGCCCGGAGCCAGGGTGCCGGCGCGACGTGACGCAGCGGTTTGGCCGCTGTGGGGCGCCGTAGCCCGCGCCGTTGCCAGGGGAACGGGCCCGCGCCGGACTAGGCCCAGCCCGTCTCAGCCTCGCCCCGCGGTACAGCCAGCACGCTCGAGCCGGAGCCGGAGGACTTGCGGGCCTAACCTCCCCCGCGCGGCCCGGGATGGGGCCCCGATCCGGGGCGCACCGCCTCCGGGTCTCGGGGACCGTCTCCGCTGCGAGAGTCTGAAGCGCCGCCGCCCTGGGGTGGGTGGACGGCCAGGCGTGGGGGCTGAGCCGCTGAGTGACCTTGGCAAGGCCGACCTGGCTCGGCCGACGACGCGCAGGTGAGGAGCCCCCGCTGCAGTTCTCACCTCGAAGCCTGGCATGAGCCACGGGGCCAGAGCTGCCGCCGCCCGGCCGAGCTCTGCCCCTGGATCCCGCGGCCTGGGCTCCAGGTACCGGGCAGAGCGCCCGGCTTCCTTCTAGCATTCATCCGGTTCACAGATTTGCATTGACCGTCTGCTGTGTGCCAGGCTTTTTGCCAGGCGCGGGGCCACGGAGGGGTCCAGAGAGGACGCCGCGGTTCTCCAGAACCCGCAGTGTTAAGAAGGGGCGGGGCGGGGGGTGCGGGGAGCAGGCGCCAGATACACGACTAAAGTGATTTCAGGTCGGGTTAAATGCTCTGGTGCTGAAATGAAGGGAGGTGGTGAGGGAGGGTCCGCTCTATCATGTGACTTTTAAGCCAAGAGCTGAAGGTTGAAAAGGAGCCAGCATTGTGATCAGGGTAACTGTGTTTCTGGAAGAGGCAAAAGCAAATGCAAAGATCTGGAGGGAGCAGGTCCAGAGGAACAGCAAGCATGAGGGGAGCCTTGAAGGATGCGGTGGCGGTTTCAACTTTATCCTAGCAGGAGAAGGAAACCATTGAGGAGTTTTGATGAATTTCAAGTTTTGAAAAGCTCACCTCACTCTGGTGAGGTGAGCAGTGTGATTGTGACAGGGCACACCAGGATGTCAGTTGAGGGCCATCCTAGTTCTGCCAGTCTAGCTGTGCCTCCTAGAATTTACTTAGTCTCTTTGAGACTCAGTGTCCTCATCTGTGAAAGGGGCATATTGTTCTGCATGTTGTTTATGAGGGAGAAAGTGAGGGGCCATTGACATCTGAGACCAATGACTAGAGAGGCCTATGAGAACAATTTGAAATGATAGGACCTACCTCAGAGAGTTGTGAGGGTTTAATAAGTGAATTCCATCAAAACACTTAAAGCAGTGCCTAGCACAGAATAAATGCCCTCTAAATGCTAGCGATGGTTATTGTTATTGTTGAAATACCGTAGGGGAGCAATGACTGGGGCTTGGATTAGGGTGATGGCAGCAGAAATGGTAAGAAGTGGCTTAACTTCCTTTCTTGAAGGAGAACTGGATTTAGAGATGGGTGAGGTGTGGTCCCTGTTTTTGTGGAACTGGTGGTTCACAGTGGGAGATGGGTTTGTAAACAGATAATCACCATGAGATTCAATAAAAGCAACATTGGTACTTAATTAGCCAGGTTTTTTTCTTTTGTTTTTCTTACTTATCTGTTCTGTCACAACTTTGTTCTTGATGACGGTTTCTTGGTGGGTGTTGCTCAAGGCTTGCTTCTGCCATCATGGGAGTTGATTTCCTGGTTAAAATCAAAAATGCTTGCCTCTGCTCACTGGCCTTGTTTCAGCTCCAAGTTGCTCCCTTCTTCTTGTCCTCTTTCCTTGGCTTAACTTGAATCCCAAATAGTTTGCAGTGGTTGCTTCAGGAAGAGAATTGCACAGGAAATGTCTGCAGACCACGTCAGCTCAGGAATGACTGAGGTTTCAAGCTTTTCCTGCCCTAGCATCAGACTTCTGCGTGTTGTTGCTGTGAGGAGCCCAGCCACATATGAGACCAATGACTAGAGAGGTCTATGAGAAAGGCTTGAGGTTCCAGTTCATTCTCTGGGAGTTGTTGTGATGTGTATCTCTTAGTCAAACTAGCCACTTCCCAGAATCTTAAGTCCAGAGACTTCTTTGGCACCTGTGGGTAATTCTAATAAACAAAATACTTGCCCCTTGAAAGTTCTTTTATAAATGACATTTTGTGCTGTAAAACAGTGTGCACCATGCAGCATTTTCTTTCCAGCCCCTCCCTTAGATGGTTAAATTGGGCATCTGTTAAACCTCAGTGAAAATGGGTTTAAAAGTAGATCCTGGGAAAAACCCAGAAAACTTGTTTTGAAGTATCCACAGAAAATCACACACACAACAACCATAAATCCTCTAGCTAAAAGAAAAGATGGTTGGGAATGAAACCTTCCTGTGGCATGCACCTTCCCTTTGGGTTCTGGAGTCACGGGGAGCTGAGCTGACCTTCAGCTGAGAACTGGAACAAGGTCCTGCCCAGCTGCTCCTCTGTTGTGCTGCCTGGTTGTCTGATTCCAGCTTTAACAAAAGCCGTAACAGCTCACAGGGAGCTCTTCAGCTGAACAACTCAGGACTTCTTTCGAGAGTGAGAAAGCATTGAACTAAAACTGAGTGCTCTTTTGTTGCATGGTTGTTAGGCAAGATTTCCTTGTTTGCCTGGCGCAGTACTGGGCTCTAGATCACACGAGCACATTTGGTCCACATGGCAGCCCACTGGGGCCAGGAGGGTAAGAGATGACACCCTTCAGTTATTTATTTGATGTATATATCTTTTTCAAAAGTAGTACATGCACATGGTAAAAAAAAAAAAAAAATCCAAACAGCACCAAGGAGTACATAGTAGAAGCAAATCTCTCTCATCCCCAGCCACTGGATCACCTTCTCACAGGCTATCCCTATGTTTGCTTTCTTGCATTTCTTTCCAGAGAGAACCTGTGCATATAGGAATGTAGATGTCTATCCATCCACCTTGGTTTTCACTCACTCGCGGCACACTCTACAACTGTCCCACATCTTGCTTTTCTGCTTAACTGTGTATCAAAAGTCATTTCATCCCTCATTATTTTTGATGTTATATAGCATTCCATTGTGTGGATGTGCCATATATTTGTTTATGTTGTTTTTTGTCCTTTATTATTACAAACAAGATTGCAATGAATCTTTGTGCACTTTATGAGCATATGTATAAGATAAATACCTAGAAATGGAATGTCTTGGCTCAAGGGTATATGTGTTCTCAAGTTTGGTAGACATTACCAAATTGCTTTCCAGCTAACCTTTTTGAAAAATAAATAAAGGAGAGATCCAAAGAGATGGCTTTGTGAAATTTGCCCACCAGGTTCCTCAATCTGTGAGTGGCAACGCAGGGACCAGAACCAGGCTATGTCTCCAGGCCTAGCCCTCTTCCCTGGTTCCAACCTGTTTCTCCTTGTTGGTAACTCAGATCTCCAGGCCCTCCAAGCCCCCACATCAGCCCTGTCACCTCTCTTCTGACCCCATCACTGTACCTTCCCAGTTCTGTGGCCTCTACCAACAAACCCTCTGGTAACTAAGTAGATTCTTTCCTGAAATTCTCAGACATCTTGCAAAAATGCAGGGATGCCTACAGCCTCTCCAGGGCTGGTACTTTTCACCTCAGTCTGGTTCTTTTACAATGCTATTCATGAATCTCAGAACAACATTCCTAAATATTTTTTTTTGGTGAGAGTAGAGGTGGGCAGGAGGGAAGTGGACCAGTCAGGTAACTATTCTGTAGTTCATAATGAGAACCTGAAATGGTAAGATTTTCCTCACTTAAATTAGGCATATAAATTAAGGTAGCCTAACCTTATTTGGAAAATGCTATTTTAGACTTTTAGCAAGTCAATGTTAACATAGATTATTGTCATCCTAGCAATGGCCTTCCCCTTGTTGGGACAGGGAGGGACCTGCACAGGCCCTCCAGCCTCCCTCAGAAGCCAGGTGGGCCCTTGGCTTACCAGGGCAGTGGCTACCTTTGGCCTAACACTCCACGGGGCCGCTTTGCTCTTGTCTTCTTTCTGTCTCCACCAGCTTAACTCTGTTGTTTGCTCGTGGCAGGAGAAGGTACTTGAGAATCTTTTGTCAAGGCCCACATACCTCTCAGCCCACCAAAGATACAGCAGGGCATCAGGGAGCTTGTGGGCTTGACCCCCACTTCCCACCCAACTCCTCCCAGTGGCTGCTGGGCTGCTGCCCTCCCTACGCCAGCCTGCTGTGGTGTCACCTCCCCCCATGCCTTTTCGCTTCTTGCTCATGCCCTCCTTCCCAGTGTGAATAGAAAGCTTTCTAAAACACCCATCACCTTTATGTCAACTCCCCTGTTTAAACTTTCTGTGATTCCCTGTGGCTCTTTCAACAGTGCCTAAACTTACTCACCTGGCCTCCTGTGATCACCTTGTTACTGAACCAAAGTCGGATCTGCTTGCCCAACATGTAGCAAAGACAACCTGCTGACGCCAGGCTGTGGTGAAGGCAAGTACGGTGTTTACTGCAGGATGCCAAGCAAAGGGAGTGGGAGACATGCCTCAGGTCCACTCCAGCTTGGTCTTTGAGTTAGAATTTTATTTTATTTTATTTTTTTTCGGTGGGGAGAGGGAGGAGAACAAAGAGGCTGGGATTAATCATCGTCCTGTGACATTTTTGTGACATTTCTTAATTGTAGTTTCAGGAGTCAGAATGTCTCTAGTTTATGATTCTTTGGCCAGGTGGTCCATGGCTCAGGGATCTGTTAGCTCATCTTGCCCTGGAGAAACAACCTGAGTTTGTACATTAATGATGACATCTATAGTAGCAATTTTAGTACATTAATGATGTCATCGACAACAGCAGTTTTAGTCATGTGACTCTGGTTGTTTAGTGTTCAGTTAGCACAGGATTGAGGTCAGAGGTGACTTGAAAGGGAATCAAGTTTTGGATAGAGAGATTAATCATAATCTTGGTAAGGGAACTTGGTTTTAGGGGCACTTGGTTTCAACCTAGGATCTGACCCTGCAACTTCCCAGGGCTCATCTCTCTCTCTCTCTCTCTCTCTCTCTCTCTCTCTCTCTGGATCTTGCCATACTGAATGGCTGGCCCTTGCAGGGCTGCCAGAATACCATTCACCCACTTCCCTGAAATCTGTCTGGGCCCCCAGAAAGCAAGCCCCTGAGGGCAGGAACATGGTCTCATCTGTGTTTACATCTTTAACGCACAAGGGGGCTGGACCGCAATAAGCACTGACTGGGCCAAGGCATGAGTGCACAAGCTGGCCATGTTGTCTGGTAGCAGAACCGCGCATCTTTTAATCTGGTCTCCTAGGGAAGTGCTGAGAGGGGTAGGACAGCCAGAGAAGTCCCTGGGTCTGGTGACAGTGTGGTCCCATCCATGCTTGAAGCCTCATCTTGGATTATCTCCTACCTCCAAGCCCTTTTAATCAAAATTTTTGGGGCCAAAAGAATTTGTGGCCACCAACTCCACAAGGGAAAATATCATCAGTTAAGAGTTGGTTGTCTCAGGCTTTAGTTGCAGGCGGCATGGTACCAGGCTGCCCCTCCCGCAAGGGACTTACACCCAACAGCACCACCATCCCCTCATCCATGGTCTCATACAAGTGGTACCTCTCTGGGCCAAGGGTACTGGGGTTCGGTATCAGAGCAACCCCTAAGGCTGTTTGTGGTAGGCCCCTGGCCTCAGGTGGTGACTCCTCCTGCCTCAGGTGTCAGGGATGCAGCAGCACTGGGGGTGCCTGTGGCCACGGCCAGCCCACTCTGGAAGTGAGGACCTGTCAGCCAGCCATGTACCTCTGCTTCTTTCTTTATAAACTACCTCAAGGTGTTGGGTTATTCAGGTGTGAGGATGGCAAAGAGAAAGTCAGGACTTAGGAATCCCAATTAATGGGTTCCCTTCAAAGAAGTTGCCCTGGTGATATGGCTGGAGAACCTATGTGGAAGCCACAGGGATTTGTCCTCCTGAGCAGAACTGCCCAGCTCAACTGTATACACTGGGCTTGACCAGATGATCTTTGTTTCCAAAAATCAAGGACAAAGATTTGCCACCTCTGGGGACATTCCAAATAAAGTGAGGCCATCTTTTTGATCACCTTTGTCATCTTTGATCAAAGCTGAGAAGTTTAGAATGACAATCCAGTGGCCCAGCTCTTATGACAATGTGTTCCTTGGGACTACTGGCTTAAGAAAGCAACTTGAACCAACCCCATCACTTTGGGCATAACCTCATAAAACCTCACAGAATATCAGATGCAGTAGCCTCCTCAGTCTGGAGAGATGAGGACACCCCAGAGGGCTATTTTAAGGGTAATCATAACGTCTACCATTTAGGGAACATTTATGTGTCAACGCTTTACCTACAGTTTTGCTGATCTATATACAGCCCTAGGTAGGCATCCCTACCCCTGTTTTTCAGATGAAGAAACTTAAGCCACTCAGCTAGTAAGTGAAGAACCAGGACTTGAACCTAGATCTGTTTCCTCCAAAGCTGGGGCTCTTTTTTCACCTTTCATTGCTTTTTACTGAAGACAAAGCAAGTGACCAAAGAATTCCAGTGGAGTCCCTGGGAGAAAACTAGGGTCACTCCATTTAGCTTTGTGATGAAGCTACTCAGACTCTCCAGGTTTGGTTTACAGAAGGCTCTGGGCCTCAGGTGGGATGAAGGGCAGAGTGGCTGAGTGTGAGTGTCTGGAAGCTAGGGTAACAGCCATGGGGCTGGCGTGGGGCGGGGAGGGGGTATGGGTGCCTGGCGACTGTGCAGATTGAAGACAGGGCAGAACGGGCCAGATGGCTTTGGGTGAGTCAGGATTCCTCATCATTTACCGTGCCCACATTTCCTTTTATTTCAGATGTTTTCAAGTCAGAAAACATTTACTGAGCACCTACTATGTACAAGGTATGTTCTGGGTGCTTGGGGGAGGGGTTGTGGGGAACAGAGGTGAATGAATCACAGTACCTTTGCTGCCCTTAGGGGGAGCTGGCATAACAGGGGGGCAGACATGGAGATGGCAAAGTGTTCCAAACAGCAAAGTGACTTGCCCAATAAAGACTGAGTGTGACTGACTAACTTGGGACATCAGGGAAAGCTTCCTGGATGAGGTGATGCTTGCAGTGGGCTCTGAAGGTCAGGTCACATTTTGTTGGGTTTAGAAGTGAGGAAGGTGTTCAAGGCAGATGTGCTGAGCAGGGTCTGCCATACCCTTTGTCTTAGTCAGACTCCCTGGCCAACAGGCATGGACTCCTGAAAGGAGAGTCCAGCTGCCAGGGTTTTTTCTGCAGCTCTTGACCTTCCCACCAAGAGCTCCGAATTGGCCTGTCTACCCAGGTGGGGCACTGCCTGCCCAGGCTCTGGTCCCACCTCAGGCCCAGAGATACTGGGGTTGGGCTCTTTCTCCTGTAATGACAGGCCTACCCGTCTGCCCTGCATGTATCTTTGAGCACTGAGTCAGCTCTTGGGCTGAGCGATGGTGGGATGGGGGTAAAGAGTGCTGCCATCTGGTGGTTTGGCTCTGACCAAGGCCTGTCTTTCCCTGAACTCCCTCAAGTGAGTCAAAGGCATCAGTTCACCTTTTTGTTCTCACTGTACCAGGGCCACATTTACTTAGAGAAACATGGTCATTTCCACTGCTGGAGGGAACCAATGAGGATTCCTCCCCTCTCTTGTGTGCTGGCTTCTCTCCAGCCAAGAAGCCCCAGGTAGCTTATCTGAGGCACAGGGGAGATGGTTCAGGGTCCCCTAGTCCTTAAAGGGATTACATGCTTGCTGAGGGGCAGAGGCCAGTTCCCTCTTTTGAACACCTCCACTCCCTGTTTCCCTAAGCAAAGTGTAGCGGGGCCCTCTCTGACACTTGCATTTGGGCCTCAGGACAGAGGTGACTAATCCCGACAGAATCAGCATGTGTTCTCATCGCTCTGGCCTCAGCCTGATATTGTTACCAGATGAGAACATGTCTTATTGGGTTTAACTCTGATGGCTGTGGAGACAGAGCAGAATAACAGGCAGTCACACTGTGAGCTGAATAAACCCTGGAACTTCCTACCTTGTCCTGGCTAGGACTGGGGCCAGAACTTTTTCTGGGGCTTTGAGACTAGCACTCTACTGCCATCCTCCCTCACTGCCAGGCTTCTCATGCTAGGGCCCCGGATTCCCCTGCAGAGTAGCTGGAGATGGCTTCACATACTAGCCTGCCCCTCCTGCTGAAACCTGACTGCAGGCACGGGGCTCTGGGCTCCAGCCTGGGCCTCCTCAGGCTAATGATCTTTCTACCCTTTCTCCCTCTGGAGATGAACATCTGCAACAAGCCCTCTAACAAGACAGCCCCTGAGAAGAATGTGTGGACAGCACCTGCACAGGCCAGCGGACCCTCCCCGGAGCTGCAGGGCCAGCGGTCCCGCCGGAATGGGTGGAGCTGGCCCCCTCACCCGCTCCAGATTGTGGCCTGGCTGCTGTACCTCTTCTTTGCTGTGATTGGCTTTGGGGTCCTTGTTCCCCTCCTGCCTCACCACTGGGTGCCTGCTGGCTATGCTGTATCCTTGGGAAAGTGTGGGACTGGTACATAGAAGAGTGGGGACAATGGATGGAGGGACATGGGCAAGGCCTGAAGCTGGGTTCCAGAGCCTCAGAGAGTGCAGATGGGCCCTGTCTCTGCCTGGGGGGACCAGTTGCCTACCTGCCTGGCCTCCAACCCCCATCTGACCCCTCTGCCTGATTGGGTGAGGGAACAGGCCTAACGAACCTTGGAGCGTTGAAAGCCCCACACAGATGGGAACCTCATCAACTGAGGTACCACGAGAGCAATTACAGAAGAGAACCTTAAAGCTCTCTTTAAGCTAATTGTGTCCAGAGCTCAACAAGGGATAAAAGAGAGTACCTTATTCCATTTATGAAATAATTTTTCACTTTTTGGAAAGAATAATGGTAGAATTCCTTTACATGGTAAGTTTCCTGGTACATTTAAAATATGGTTTTATTTACAGAGATTATTATGCTGTACCCAGGACTGTTTAGGAGCTCATCGATTTTATAAATCAGACTCTTTTAGGGTAAGGTTGAATTGACAAGAGGAGGGATAAATATGCCCTGGAAGCTCCTGGGAATTGTGACAAACATGAGCTTGCCTGAACTTAGTGATGTGACTGCCCCAGCCCTGGCCACAACCCCCAGGAGCAGAGGATGTGGCTGCAAGTCTGGGCGGTTGAGGGGCAGCATGTGGCCATGTGCCCCAGTCCAGAGGGTGCCCATGAGAGTGTGCCTTGGTGTGTGTGCTTCATGGAGATGATTCTTTGGGCCTCTGGGAGAAGGTGGCCTAGGGTGAGCTAAAGGAGTTAGCAGGGATGAATTTGAAAGTCTCAGGCGTAGAGTCAGCACCCTTTAACTCAGCCCTTTCAGAGCTGCACAAGGCTGAGCAGCTTCTGCCAGCTCTCCACGTCTTAGCCTCCTCCTCTGACAGGAGTCCTGCCTGCTTCCCAGGCAGGGGACAAGGAGCACACAAGGATGTGTGTGTGTGAGCACCAGAACGTATGAGCCATGAATGTGAGCATGCTGTCTTGGGAAACCATAGAGCCCTTGGCTGGTGGGTAGCCAGGGCAGGTGGGTGGAGAAAGACTCAAGAGAAGGTCGTTGGTCTCCGACGCCAGCAGTGTCACTGAGGGGCTTCCTGGTTCACTGGGGCCCAGGGCCTAGTCATCAACTTTGTACATGAAAACTAGACTTTCTCTGAGGTGACCAGCAGGGCTTAGTCAGTGCTGTTAAGTAGAACGCTTCATGGAACATTCCTCCCATGATCCGGAATGGGTACACCACTCACTCAGGACTACCTGGCTTTCTGCCATCAGGGTACCTGGGAAGCCAGATTAATAACCACATGTTTTGGAGTGAGCAGAATCAGAGCAAATAACAGTAACCAAGAGTAACTAGCATTTATTGAGCACTTATATGTGCCAGGCACTGTGCCAACCCCTATACATGGATGATCTTGTTCAACTCTCATAATAATCTGTAAGGAAGGTGTTCTCCCCACTTTCATAAAAGAAGTTGGGGCTCAGAGAGATTATAAAGTTTTTTTTTTAATTTTTATTTATTTTATTTTTGGCTGTGTTGGGTCTTTGTTGCTGCACGTGGGCTTTCCTCTGGTTGCTGCAAGCGGGGGCTACTCTTCATTGCGGTGCGAGGGCTTGTCATGCGGTGGCTTCTCTTGTTGTGGAGCATGGGCTCTAGGCGCTCAGGCTTCAGTAGTTGTGGTGCGTGGGCTCAGTAGTTGTGGCTCGCAGGCTCTAGAGCGCAGGCTCAGTAGTTGTGGCGCACAGCCTTAGTTGCTCCGCGGCATGTGGGATCTTCCTGGCCCAGGGCTGGAACCCGTGTCCCCTGCCTTGGCAGGCGGATTCTTAACCACCGTGCCACCACGGAAGCCCTCAGAGAGGGCACACAATTGCTACCCAGTGAGGCCAGGAGGACTGCTCAGGCAGTCTGACTCTGAGGCAGTGGGATGGTTTGAGGGTTTTGTCCTCCCCATATTTATTGCTTTGGGCAATGCTGGAGGCTCTTAGAACCACCTGGTTTGGCACTCCCATTTCCAGGCCTGAATGGTTCTCTGTCCTCCCTTCAAAGCTACTTTCCTTCTGCAGGCTCCCTCAGGGGCCCCTGCAGAATGAGGTAGGGTAAGGGTGTATACCAAGCACTCACCTTGCACCTAGAACTTGCCTGGGCCCTAGGGTTGCAAAGATGGGTAAAACAGGGCCCCAGCTCTAGATGTTCCGCTTCCAACAGGAGGAAAGCCTTGTAGGTTGGAGATCATCACATGGTAAGTATGGGGGTAGGGATTTATACAGCAGACTGTGAGTGCAGGAAGAGGGCCATGTAGACCAACATCACCACCCAGATGCATACCTGTTGCTCTCAGCTCCCCTCCTTCCCTCTTCCTGGCCTCTCTAGGTACTCTTGGCTCCGCCCCTTTTCTTCATCACCTATATCTAGTCAGTCATCAAGTCCTGTTGATTTTGCCTCCTAAAAATCTATTGTATTTGCCCTCTTTTCTCCCCACTGCCATCTGCCTCTTTTACCTAGATGACCATTTCGTTTCCACACAGGTCTCCCCACACATGCTCTCACCCCGGCCAGTCCATCTCTATCCCTGCAGCGAGAGTGCCCTTTCAAAAAACAAATATGATAAAGTTACTCCCCAGCTTAACACCCTCTAATAGCTTCTTCCTGCCTTAAGGTTCAAGATCATCATGGCTCTCCACATTCTGGACTCTGCTTATCTCCCCAGCATCTTCTTATTTTATTTCCTCTGTTGTTCTCTGTTGCAACAACAGTGGTCTCTGCCTGGAAGCTCCTAGCCTCTCTCTCCACCCCAATACCCAGCTAAGTTAGAAGTCAAGACCTAGCAGCCCATGGGCCAGTTTGGCTTACAGATTTTTTTTTTTTTAATTGAGGGATAATGAACACACAAAATGGACATATCTTAAGTATTTCTTTGGCAGGTACATTTAAAAAATATTTATTTCCTTGTCAACATTTTAAAAATGAGATGCCTCATATATCCAGACACAAATCCATATTTCTGGTTCCTTCTGAAAAGCCAGAATTTGGTGACATGGGCTCTCTTTCTTGCATGGCACCAATAAGCTGAGCTGGAACCACACATCTAGTTGGGACTCTGCTTGTTCCCAGTACCCAGCCAGGCCCCCTTTCCTCTTTATATTACCTGCCATGTTCCTGTTATCTGTTTCTCTCTAAGTCTCAACTGAGATGATACTTCCTCAGGGAAACTTTCCAGATCCCTTCAGACTAGATGAGGTCACCTGGTTACAAACTCACATAGTCCCCTGAACTTTTGTTATTGCAATCAACCTACTCTGTGTTTTCTGCCAGACTGTAGGCTCCCTGGGGCTAGGGACCAAGTCTGTCTTGCTCCTGCCATATCCTCAGTGCCTGGCATAGAGAAAGACCTCAGTAAATAGCTGAATGAATGAACCAGGGGGGTGGGGGGGAGGGAAGAAGTGTTGGAGCAGGCAGGAAACTAAATGTTTGCCCACATTCATTGTGTCTGAAGAGAGCCTGGAATGGTAAGGAGTAGTGGTTGGTGATACCAGAGAGGTTTGAGAGGATTCAGAGGAAAAGGGGCCGTGAACACTGAGCTGAAGAGTAAACTTTAGCTTGAGAGCCACTGCAGGAGTTTAAGCAGGCAAGGCTTTAGGTTTAAGCTTTTTCAGAGCTCACTACCCAAGTAAAGGGTACTCAAGGGGACGCAGACATGAGAAGCAGAGTCAGGAGACTATGGAATAACCCAGGCAAGAGGTGACAGCCTGACCCACAGCCAGGGCCGTAGGGATAGAGAGGTTGTGTTGGGCCACAGGATTGTCTCTTTCAGCTCTGGTATAGCACATTAGGGTGGAGCCTGGCTCCTGCAGACATGTAGGAAAATTTGGCTTCTAGGAAGAGGAAGAAAAAAAGGAGGTTGGACAGCTGATGGATGGAGGATAAGTGATGGAGAGATGATGTCTACTTGGCTAGCAAGAGGATGGATGGATGGATCGACAGATAGCTAGATGGAGGGTGGATGGCTGCCTGGATGGAATCTATTAGTGAAGTTTTACACATTCACTTTGCAGTAAGTTGTCAGCATACTGTGTCCAGCATTTGGTCCAGCTGCTGAGCTGATAGATCCTGGAAGATCTGTGTTTCAGGAATTAGCCATGCTGCCCCCTGGCCAGCCCCTGAACATGTTAGGCCATCCCAGACATTCAGCCCCAGGCCTCCAAGTACCTGGACTCTAGATTGGGGAGGCAGTGGATATATGAGGCCCTGTCTGCAAGTGATTCTCCAACTGGCCTGGCTGCTGGAAGAGGATGTCTTCTTCCTTCTCAGAGCTGACTTCCTGTGAAAGAAAGATAAACAAGCTTAGAACTTATATTTTGGGTCCTTCAACCTTTAGAGGATGATCTCTCTCAGTCTCATTTAACCATTTAGAATCGGAAGCCAGGTCGGGTTCTGAGGCGAGATGAGCCAGGGCCTTCGCCAGGCCTGGATTAGTGAGGCCAGGGCCCTGTAGCTGGTCCCCTCAGCAGCAGCAGGCAGTGCTGGCTTGTGAGCTCCATTACCAGATAGCCCCTCTGCCCTTCCGTGTGGGGCGCAGGTAGGAGGTGGCACGGGCAGAGAGTCTCTGCACTGGGGAGGCACATGTAGGTAGAGAGCAGTTCTCTGGCCACAGGAAGCAGAAGTGGGGCTCTCAGCTGGCAGTGTGGAGTGAGTCTTTAACCTGTTGGGCCAGTGCATGGGCGCCATCTTTGCTGGTCACCTCGTGGTGCACCTGACTGCTGTTTCCATCGACCCAGCAGATGCCAACGTGCGGGACAAGAGCTATGCTGGGCCCCTGCCCATCTTCAACCGCAGCCAGCATGCACACGTCATTGAAGACCTGCACTGCAACTTGTGCGATGTGGATGTGTGAGTGCGTGTGGACGGGGTGTGTGTGGCCGATGAGTGTGCCCGGGGAACTGCCGGCGGGAGCTGAAGGCAGACAGGGGCATGCCCAGGCTTTACAGTCATTCTGAAGCCTCAGAACCCTCTTATTTCACACAGTCAAGAATCTTAGTGGAGTGACAGAGAACTGGGTGAGGGAGAAGGTGATTGGAAACAGAAGATAAGGAATAGCATTTCCAACAAAGTAGGACAATTGGCCCTGCCACAAACACTTCTGATGACTAACTCCACCAGTAACCACCCCCCTTCTCTCACCAGCATTCCCAGGTATGGGCGGAGAGGGGAGCAACACTTGACTCCTTACCATGTGCTAAGTGCTTATGAACAACCACCCTGCAGAGTGGGCAACATCTTTCTCACTTCACAGAGGAGGAAGAGTCCAATGCTCAGAAAGGCTGAGTGGCCTGAGGTTGGTCACATGGCTACTGGGCAGCCAGATTCACAACCCAGCCTGCCTGGCCCCGAAGCCAATACTGCTATCCTTGTTTATGCACGAAGAATCTGAGGCCCAGAGACGCCAAGTGACTTACTCCAGGTCACATTGAGGGGTCAGAATGTACAGAGCCCATACCCCCTTGGCTGGTCCAGACTGCCTCCCTAAGCCCCTCTCTGGAGGATCCCAGTCTCCCAGCCTTAGGTAGGGGATCAGGGATGGGGGTATGGTTCAAGGCTAGCTCCACACTTTTAATATTAAGCCCCAAGCAGCCTGTTGAAGGGGTTCTGTCCACAGGACAGAGAAAGAGCCAATGGCATTAAGATGCTGAGGACTTCGGCACCAGACCATCCTTTCTTTCACTAGACACCAGTCAGCGCGTTGTTCCTCAGTGGATGCCCTGGCAGTCGCTGCGTATTCCAGGGCTCCATTCTGTTCTGGGGGAGGGGGTCGAAATTTATTCTTCCACTCTCCTTTGGCCTTTCCTGGTTCCTCCCTGGGGCAGGGAGACTCTCTTGCATTCCTAATGTAGCCTCACCTCACCTGACTCACTGCGGTGAACTGCTTACTGCTCACCCAGGTGTCTGCTTACCCCTCTTCCTTTGGCTCCCTTTGGATTAGCCCAGATAGACTGGGGTTTTCTGGAAGAATGCCAGGAAAATTCCCATAGTCTGGCAGAGAAACAGGGACTCAAAAAATGGCGATGTCAGGAAGAGCAACGCAGGCCCTGGGTCCAGCAGCCTTGCTCTCTTCTGCGCCCTGGCCGGGCAGAGGGGGTCCTTGCTTGGAAAGGAAACTCCGTTTTCGTTTCACGCCACCATCACGCGGGTGCACTGTCCCAGAGCGGGACAGTATAACGCCGCCTACACCTCCTCCCGCCGCTGGGTACACCTCCCGTCCCCGCCCCCACCCCCACCCCCACCCCCACCCCCACCCCGTCTCTTCAGAAGCGCTGCTTCCTCCGGGTGCCCCGCCCCACAGTGCCCCCCGCCAGAGGGCGCGCGTGCTCCCCTTTGACGCGCTCCGCTCTCCGCTTAGGCGCGGGTGGGTGACCCGCTCCAGGCGGGGAACCGGCAACCCCCCAGCCAGGCCGGGCAGCAAAAGGCGGGAGAAGCCCGCAACCGTGCTGTGCCCCCTCCCCACCGCAGGAGTGCTCGTTCCAAGCACTGCAGCGCCTGCAACAAATGCGTGTGCGGCTTCGACCACCACTGCAAGTGGCTCAACAACTGCGTGGGCGAGAGGAACTACCGGTGAGAGCCAGGCCCGGGCCACAGGGGTGCCTGGCGATGCCTGTGTCTGTGCGAGCCAGGGGCCTTGAACCTGTGTATGGGGCGGGGCGATGATAGGGGTACTTGGGGGACCTGTGCGCTGGTGTGCGTTAGTGTGTGTGCTGGTCTGCGGGTGATGCTCCCGATGGCTTCCGCCTGAGAGCGATGAGGGTAGGTTTGGAGTCTTTCTCCTGCTGGCCCAGGGAGAGGTGGGGAGCCTGTTGGGGGTGGCCGCCTATACTCACCTTTGCCCTAAGGTTTTGGCTTCGTGAGGAGTCAGGGCTGTGGGGTCAGAGGCCCAGCTCCCCATCCTAACCACCGGCCCTTCTGAGCTCTGGGCCCTTGCCCAGCTGGAGCACCTGGGTGCTGACAGCTGCCCACGGCTGGGCCCAGGCTCTTTCTACACAGTGTGGCATCTGCCTTACTGGGCGTCCTGCTCCTCGTGCTGGTGGCCACTTATGTCTTTGTGGAGTTCTTTGTCAACCCCATGCAGCTGCGTACCAACCGCCACTTTGAAGGTCAGTGTGGGCTCCAGGCCCACTCCCATCCCCCAACCCTGGGCCTGTTCTGGTCACTGGTTACATCCCTGGCTGAGCACAGTCTGCCTGTGCCTTGCAGTCTTGAAGAATCACACAGATGTGTGGTTCGTGTTCCTGCCTGCTGCCCCTGTGGAGACACAGGCTCCTGCCATCCTGGCTCTGGCTGCCCTTCTCATCCTTCTGGGCCTGCTCTCCACAGCCCTGCTCGGCCACCTGCTCTGCTTCCACATTTATCTCAGTAAGTGCCCCCTGCCCCTACCCCCACGTATACACCCACACCTGCCTTTCAGGGGATGGGAGTCCCTAAGCTGGAGGAAGTTACCCAGTTTGGGCTGTAGAGCCCTGAAACTGTGCCCCTTCCTAGCGCTGGCTCTTTAATGGTGACCTGGTCTCACTCTATGGCTTAGTGTATATGGGGACGATGGTTTTAGCCTGTGGTTGGGTACCCTCCCTCAGCTTCTGCACTCCAGGGTTCCTTTTCCATTGCACTGAGCCCTCTCTTCACCCCCTCAGTGTGGCACAAGCTCACCACCTATGAATACATCGTGCAGCATCGTCCGCCCCAGGAGGCAAAGGGGGCCCACAGGGAGCTTGAGTCATGTCCCCCCAGGATGCGGCCCATTCAGGTATAGAAGTGGCCCAGAGGGCTGAGGGAGTGGGAGAAGGGGTGTGGGAGGGGTGGTGGGCTGTGCAACGAGTAGCCAGTGACAAGACGGGGCAAAGGGAAGCGGGCCTGGAAGAGCAGCTGGGGTAGGGGGTGCTGGAGGCAGCAGAGGCGAGGGCAAGCCTGTACTAAGCACGTGCCTACTTGCTCAAGTGTGGGCACAGCCAGAGGAAGCCCTGTGTTTCCCCGACCCCAGGGGAAAGGCTCGAAGCATGTGCTGGAGGGCACAGAACGTGGGAGCCTGGAAGCAGGCAGGTTGGGGCCGCAGGAGAAGAGAGAGGGATGGATCAAGGACTGGGTTACCAGGATAGAGCCATCAGTTCTTTCCACCTGTGACCCTGAGCCCTTATACCCATTACCTCATTTAAATCTTGAAACAGCCCATGAGGCAGGTAATGCTACCGTACCCATGTTGCAGATGAACATATTGAGGCCAAGAAAGATTAAGCAAGCTGGGTCTAGGAAGAGTTAAGGTCTCTGCACCCTGAAGCAGGAATCCTCCAGCCCAGGCTCGGGGCCTGGCCAGCCCAGCTGTTGATCAGCCTATCCCCATTCCCATGCCCCTTGGCTTCCTGAGGTCAGCAGCTGGGGGTGGGGTGGTCCAGTCCTTGGAGCCCCCAGGGACTGGGAAGGCAGGGGGCCCAGGCAGGCCTTGTTGGGAAGGCTGAGCCCTGGATCCGAAGTCCTCATGGCAACTGGACACAAACACAGGCTGGTGGGTGGATTGGGGGAGTGCTTGGGACCCCACCTCTCCTGTTCTCATCACCAGGGGTGGGCCAGGCTGCCAGGCCTGGGTAGGCCTGGGGGAGTGATGGCTGTTGGTGGAAACCCCCTCCCCCCCCCCCGCAACTGCCACACTGCTGGGTACCTGCCCTGGTGCTGGGCACGGAACCCATGTAAGCACAGTGGCAGCCATCCCGGGAGTGGGCACCATCCCTATCCCTACTTCACAGAGGAGACTGAGGCTCAGAGAGGTAGGCAGGAGACTTTCTCAAGCTTCACAGCCAGTGCCCATTGAGGCAGGGCTGGCCCTGGGATCTCCAGACTCGAATGCTCAGGACCCCTGCTCTGTAGTTACCGCCTGCTTAGGCTTTGGGGCCAGATGTGCCAGCAGCAAGGGCATTTAATACCATCGGAAAATGACCTGAGGGAGACGTCGGCAGAGGGAGAAGGGGTGTGTTTGTCCCATCGTACAGAGGAGAGCTGAGGCTGAGAGGTGCCATGTACCATTCAGGAATGTGCAAGTTTTGAATATCTCTGAGGGAGGATTGTAGGGACAGCTGGGGGAGGGGAATTTGAATGGGGACACCCTGGTGGCACCCTCAAACTTCCCCAGCTGGCTAGGGCCTGGCTCCTGTCCCAATCTGGCTCCTCAGGCTTCTGAGACCATCCTCTACTGCTGCCCTGCCCTCTGCCCTACACTTCTAGAACCCAGGGGCACCAGGGTAGGCTTTGCCCCCTCTCTCCTGGGCCCTGGAGGGGTGCTAGGTGCACACTGGTGAAGAGGAAATGTGGGGGGGGGAAGGATTCCCTTGGCGTCCCAGCCCTTGTGACTGGCCTTTGACTCCTTCCTCTTTCCCAGGGCTCCTCTGCTCAGGCTGGCACCCCCACACTCCTCCCCAAAGGGCCAGCCTGGGCAGGTGTTGGGCACAGGGCTTGCCCAGGGTTCATTCTCTGCCTCTGTGTAGCCAGCCGGTGACTGGCTGGGCTCTGGCCCCCAGATCTGCTAGGGCCATCCAGCAGGCAGCCTCCCCACCCCCACCCTGAGCAGGAATGTGGGAGGGGCCCCACTCTGGAGCCGTTGCCCCCAAACATAGGCTTGTTTTAGAGACGGTGTTGCTGTTACAGTGTCATCTCTGCATTAGTCAGGATGCCCGGGTCTCCATGGAAACGACTGCCGAGTCGCGACAGCTGTCCGGTGCCCTACCCCCAGCCACCCCACATCCTCCGCCAGGCTCCCTTCTCGGACTGTTTTTCCTGGCTTTTGTTTCCTCACCTGCAGTCCTCTTGGGTGCGGCTCGGCGCTTGCTGCATGCTGGGGTGCAAGCGTAGGCCACTCCTGCTACCTCCTGGCTTCAGACCCCTTCACTTTCAGGGGTTGGGTCTGCTACTCCCATGGTCACTGTGAGGATCAGCGACTAAACAAGACAGAGAACACCCATAAGCCTGGTCCCAGGTGGGGCTGTGGCGCTGTTTTTTCCACCACCTATTGCTTCCCTTTACCGGTAGAAGTTGGGGAGACTGCTCATCCCCCCACTCCCCGCCAGCAGCTGAGATTGTGTCTGGTACTCTGAGGACTCAGCTCCGAGGGAACCATGGATTCCTGCAGGTAGCCTCGCAGCCTCTGGTGCACACCCGGGTGTGTGAACTGCCCAGTCTCCCAACTAGGGAAAAACATCGGTTCAGAGACTGGAGCCCTGGGAGGAGCCAGGAGCAGGAGAGGGCCTCTCTGAGTCCCTCTTCTCCCCAACCCAACTTGGCCAGAACAGCTCTAGACTGGGTACGTTGGACACATGAGGCTGGAGGCTTCCTGGAGGAGGTGGAGTTTGACTAAATGAAGTGAGGAAAATGGTGGGGGGTGGGGTAAGGTACAAACACAGGTGTTTTAAGCCTCGTTCTGCATTGGGGTTTTCCCAGCATACCTGGGAAGCCTGAAGGACAGCCCTAGACCTCTGTGCCCAGACCTCCCACAGTGACCAGTAAGGGGGTGTTGCATCCAAGATAGAGTGGGCCCAGGACCCAGAAGGCCCTGGACCCACACCTGGCCTCCCAGCCTCCCTCACCTCCATCTTCCCCAGGAGATGGAGTTCTACATGCGGACCTTCAGCCATGTGTGCCCAGAGCCCCCTGGCCAGGCCAGGCCTGCCTCAGTGAATGCTAAGTGAGTGCAACCTGGGCAAGTGCCACCTCACATCTCCCATTGGCATGGCAGGGCCATCTGAGGTGGGAGAAAGCGGTTAGGCCAAAGCCAAGGGACAGGTCTTGGTCCAGGCTATCATGGCCTGGGACAGATCAATGCGCCTTTCCAGCTAGGAAGGGAGGCTTATTTTAGGACCTCCAACAGGGTGGGATTTGAAGGAACAACAGCATCCAGCATTTATCCTCCCACTTCCCCTTCAGCCCCTCCCGGTTCCTTGCCACCCGCGGCCACGTGGAGCCTCCACCGCCCTCCTCCCCAGAGACTCTCGCTCTGCCCCCCCGGATCCGACCCCAGGTAGGGGGGGATTGTGCTGGGCCCCCTGCCCAGGTTTGAAGGGGATGGGAAAGAAGCCTCTACCCCTCTCCACTCCTGCGCGTCTTTTGGCGATGTGAGGTCTGGGGAAGGGGTACTCAGGCTCCCCCCTGTCTCTGCAGAAAAAAAGGAAGCGGCGCATGTATAAGGTACGGACCTCCAGAACCTTGGACCGGGAGCCCCCGTTGCCCAGGCTGCCGGGTGAGCGCCCCTTCCTGACCGGATCCTGCTCGGGGAGCTACGAGGGAGGGAAAGGTAGGGCCCTAAGTGAGTAGCAGCTCCTAGTCTCACGTTCCCTTCCGGCCCCATAGGGCCGCGGACCCCCCGCCGCCGCTCTAGCTCGTCGTCGGATTCCGCTGACGCCAGCCCTGCAGGCGCCTACCACTCGGCGTCAGCCGAGTCCATGGACGAGATTCCAGTGGCTCAGACGCGCCTAGGCAGCGCCGGGGTGGCGCTGCAGGCGCGTGCGCCGGCCGTTTTCGTAAGCCCGAGTAGCGGCGAGCCCGGTGCGCGGGGCGGCCCGGAAGCCGGTCCCGCTTAGCTGGGACAAGAAACAGGGATGGCGGAGGAAAGGCGGGACAGACTCTCTATGCAACACCCCCCACCCCCGCCGTACTGAGTGCACTTTAGGGGCCGCTAAGGGCCGGCGGGATCGGCCCCCTCCCCCACGACTCAGCAATAACAGCCCCACCAGCCGTGATGCTCCAATAAACTTTTTTATGCTTTTGCGGAGTTAGTGCATACCTTCTTAATGGCAAGGGCCACGGGCCCTCCTGGAGCCGGACCATTGCAAGTCAGCCTAGGGGCAGAGGGTGAGGTGGGTTCCCCCCGCACACACACCGTACGCTGGGTGGCCACCCAGATTGTCATATGGAGAAGCTCAGGTACGGGGCTCCTGGTTGGGAAAGGTCCTAGAAGCTGCCTGGAGGAGGTTATTTTTCTTGAAGGTAGGGTTTGCACTTGGTGAGAGGAGGGGAAGCAGGCTTTGGGGTCGGGAGGCAGCAGCGGAAGCAGAGACTGCGAGGCTAACACCGGGCTGGGGTGGGAATAAATGAGGACGCGGACCCAGGAAGTCCAGGAGCTTTTCCCTGGCCGCGGGAGAGACGTCGGTGTACCAGCATTTGGGGGCTGGCACTCGTGATTCGTTTACTGTCCCCTCCCGCCCCCAGTGACCCGGAGTTGTGACCTGGGATGCCACACGCTCATTGGAGAGCTGTGGTCTTGAGCCAGCTTTAGACCCCACTGTCACTAAGGGAAGGGACCTTCCCACTCCTCTGCACGCCCCCCCCCCACGCCCCCCGCCAAAGGCCTTCGGTTGCTGCTCTGGGAAGTTGGATCTCCCCTGGAGGCGGGGATCAGCTTTGAACTTCAGGTCTGGTCACCCCAGCCACAGATGCAGCGGGATGAGACTATCGCAGCAGCTCCGCCCCCGCGGAGAGCGGAGAGGGCGGGGTCGGGTAGGTGGAGCCAGCGTGACCTTGGTCACTCTCCCGCCGAGACAGCCCCGGGGGTGGGACTCGCCGTCTCTATGGAGACCGAGAAACAAGGGAATAATACGGCGGAACCGCCCGGCCTGCAGTCCCGCCCCAGAGCCGGCAGGGAGCAGAGCTGTGGAGCCGCCTAGTCTCCTGCGTCCATCGGTCCATTCTTGCGTCTTTCTTTCTGTCCATCGAACGTGCACTGCAGGAGCAGCCACGAGGGAGAAGCCGGTAGGAGACCCCGGCGCCGACCACTCTAATCAATATCCTGCACGATAAGAAGGGGGTGGGGTGGGAGCGGCCTGGGAGGGGTCCCAACCCTGGATGGTACCGAGTTGAGGACACCAGCTGAGTGGTCCTGCCCTGGGCCCAAACGTTCCACCCCCCACCCCCAACTCCTTGCTGACTGATTACTCCAGCTGTCCCAGCGGGAGCGAGCGTGGCCTGCAGACCCCTGGGACCGGGGCCTGTGACTTGGCACCACCTGATCAGCCTGAAATTACCAAGAATCCATCTTCTCACAGACAGAAGTGAGCACAGGTGCAGGGTCCTGCTAGGCCCCTGGAACAAGCATCCTGTGGCACTCAAGCTCCCCCAGACTTTACCCTTGGTGAACAAAGTGCGGGTCTCCTTCAGATTGCTGGTGGGAGATTGCAGTGTAGGGAGAGGGAAGGGGAGTGCTGTTTGAAAGGGATTCTGGACCCACCGAGTTGCTGCAATGTAGGCGCTGTGGGTGATCCCAGTTCCAGAAACTGCAACTTAGGGATGGGTGAGTGTGGTGACCCGGGGAGGGTTTTCAGTGTTAAGGCCAGTGGTAGTGGAAGGCGGGTAGGCAGGCAGGCTCCAGGCTGTGGTCACTGGAGGCTCTATTATAAAAGGGAGAGGTGGAAGATAGTTGCTGAGGACACAACTGAGGGTGTGGTCAGGGGCTGCAGATGTATGGAGAGAGGGTGAATTGTGAGGCTCTGGTTAGGGGTCTCAGTAAAGCCTGTGGGTGTGTGAACGGGGGACCCAGTCCCAGGGCTTCCCGTGTATGGATGGAAGTGGCTGCAGTGCAGGGCTGAGGGTGTGGTCAGGGAGGCCTCAGTACCAGGCTGTGTTACATGGAGGGAGTTTCAGTGCAGAGCTGAGGGTGTGGTTGGGGACTGCAGTGGGTACTGTGGGCAAGTGTGGGGAAGACCCTTTAGTGCAGGGCTGAGGGTTATTATTGGGGGGCCTCAGTACAGGGCTGTTAGTATATGTGTGGGGCGTGCATGCTGAGGGAATGGACCGGGGCCCTTTGTCCCAGGGCTGTGGGTGTGGTCAGGGGACTGCAGTAAGGGGTGTGGGGGGCACTTCAGTGCAGGGCTGGTGTGGTCAGGGAGGTCTGAGTACCAGGTTAAGGGGTGTGGTCAGTGGGACTAAGGCCGAAGGTATGGAGGGCCAGGGCTAAGTGCACACAGCTGTGAGAGTGTGGACTAGTGTGGTGGTGCTCAGGGTGTGGCCAGGAGGCCTCCATAGAGGGCTGAAGGTGTAGACATTGGGGAAGTGTGCCTCAGCGCAGAGCGTAGGTGTGAGGATTACAGGGCCAAGGCCACGGTCTCACTTGCCATCATGCCTCTAGGGGCTCATAACTCTACAACCCCCACTCAGGCTAGCCCCTCAATCTCCTGCTCCTCCTAAACTCCACAGATTGGGACGTTACAGCCCCAATGGCTGGAAAGGGGCCAGGAAGCCACGGTTGTGCCCCAGGTGCTGGGAGTGCTGATGTGCCCCACCCGTAAGCCCATTCTCCAGCCCAGCCCAGCAGCACTGGGAGCTTCTCCCTGAGCTGCCCTGACACCCTCCTGCCCTTAACAACATTCTCCAAGCAGTACCACCCTCCGTTAGCAACTGTCTCCAGGCTTCACAAACTGTGGCCAGGCCAGCCCCAAGTTCCCCTTCCCTCATGTTTTTGTTTAATAGCAAATAGTAACAAGGTCCCAGCTGGGCCAGCTGCACCCCTGCCTGTGCTCTGGCTCCCTTCTCAGCCTGGGCTGGGTCTTGCTGGGTCCTCATGACCCTGAGTGAGACACTGTCCTCACTAAATACCTGCCCAAGCAGCAGCCTGGCCTGGTCCTGACCCAGCCTGGCATGGAACTCCCAGGGAGGGGGCCCGCTCTGCCACCCTCACTTCCACCCAAGCAGGCCTTGTGCCAGGGCCAGACAAAGCCATGGCCCCAGCTGCCGCTCTCACAGTTTTTCTGGACAGTGCTACTCTGTTCCCAGCCTGGTGCGAGCATCATGATTTCATCTTCTGAACTCCACTCTGAGCCAGGCTGGCATTAAGTGACAGGACCTTTCCTCTCGGGGCTCTTCCTCACGGCTCTGGGGCCCAGTCAGACATTGAGTACTGGCCCCTTTCTGCAGGCAGCTCCATCTCCAGTTCTGAGGGTATGTGGCAGAAGTGCCTGCAACTTCAACCTTGCAGGTTTTGAGGTAGAGGCAGTGATGCTCTGTGCCTTGGGGGGTGGGGGGGAGAGCTTGGCTAGGAGGTGACCAAGGTGGGTCCCTAACAGGGTGGCATGGCAGCGAGCACAGATGTGGCTGGGCTGGAGGAAAGCTTCCGCAAGTTTGCCATCCATGGTGATCCCAAGGCCAGTGGGCACGAGCTGAATGGCAAGAACTGGGCCAAGCTGTGCAAGGACTGCAAGGTGGCTGACGGAAAGGCTGTGACAGGGACCGATGTCGACATCGTCTTCTCCAAAGTCAAGTGAGCCCCAGGCATTCCCTCCTTCTGATGTTCCCAGAAGGGGAATTGGGGGGCTGGAACCAGGGAGGATGTGGAGAAGGGGGAAAACTCATGGTGTCCACATACCTGGCAGGGGGAAGTCTGCCCGGGTCATCAACTATGAGGAGTTCAAGAAGGCCCTAGAAGAGCTGGCACCCAAGCGATTCAAGGGGAAGAGCAAGGAGGAGGCCTTTGATGCCATCTGCCAGCTGGTGGCAGGCAAGGAACCAGCCAATGTGGGTGTTACTGTAAGTGCCCTGATGGTCTCGGCTGGCCACTGAGGGGGGGTATGGGGAATCTTGGCTGGGGTTGGAAGGGCTGGGCTCCCTAACCAGGTACCCCTGGGGGAACTCTGTCCAAACAGAAAGCAAAAACAGGGGGTGCTGTGGAACGGCTGACTGACACCAGCAAGTACACGGGCTCCCACAAGGAACGCTTCGATGAGAGCGGCAAGGGCAAGGGCATTGCTGGGCGGCAGGACATCCTGGATGACAGTGGCTATGTGAGTGCCTACAAGAATGCAGGTACCTATGATGCCAAGGTGAAGAAGTGAGGCCTGGGAAGGCCTCCCCTAGCACGGCTGCCCCTGCCAGAGGCTCAGGCCTGCGCCTAAGGGGCATGTGGAGCAAGAGAGCCCGGTCCCCTCCTTGCTGGATCTGCCGCCCAGCGCTTCCTGCCCAGCCCTATGGGGCCAGCCCACCAGACCTCTGACCCAGACTGCTCTGCATCCCCTTCCCCTTTTTCTTTCCCCCTCGACTTCTGTCTGTCTGAGGAGAGTCTGTGCCTATAGCCTCACCACCCCAACCTCGCCCCGGGCATGGCTAACCCCTGCCTGCTTGCCTCATATTTAAGCTGCTGCTCTGGCCAAGTGCCTAATTCTTACCCGGACCTCAATAAAGCCACCTTTTGTACCAATATGGCCTGGTCAGGTATATGACAACAAGGGTAATGACATTCACACCCCACGACCCCTCTGTCATCAACCCCTTCCAAGGCGCACTCTGCTGATTCTTCCACTGGCAGCCCCGCCCAAAAAAAGACACACACCAGGCCCCTTCCATTAGCACAGAGCCAGGCTGAATGAGGATGCTCTATAGGAAAATCAAAAGCCTTTTACCTCAGCCCTGACCTAGAGTTCTGACATCATGGCTATCTTCCCGCAATTAGGGCCTCAGTCTTGGCCTCTCGGCTTTCACAGCAGGTGCGGGCGATGAGACAGCAAACTCAGACTGGGCTAAGCATTGGTGGGGCCCAGTGCCAGGCCTCAGCTCTAAGCTTGCTGACAGGCCTCCACTCCAGAGGGCTACCAAGGTGAGTCATTCTGGGCTGCATCTCAGAATATCAGAAAATGCAAGACAGCAGACAGTAGACAGTTCAACTCCCAATTTTATAGCTGAGGAAACTCAGGCCCAGAGAGTGAAAGGGCTTCTGCAGAACAGAGGCCAGAACCATGCCTCTTGCCTCCCTGGCCAGGCTGTTTCTAACACAGCAAGCCCCAACACTGATTTCCAAAAATGAGGCTGGATGGCCAGCAATAGAACTTGGCACCCAACATCAGCCTTTGACAGGTGAGCAGGGTGTCCAACACTGAAGGGGCCTCTTCTTGCTGATTCCCTCCCATCTGTTCATCATCCCAGGTTGCAGGGCAGTGGCGGGGAGGGGGTCCTCTCTCTGATCCTGAGAACTCCTGGGAGCTTTCAGATCAACCTTTTCTCCCCTCTGAGGTTCTCAGTGTTAGGCCAGAGTTATTCCCAAGTCTAAGGCTTTGGGGCCAACTCTCCCTCCTTCCTGCTGACAAGTGGGCTGGATGGAACTCAGGGACTGCCCAGAGTCCCTAAGAGTGCTAGAAAAGGCTTAAAAGGCACACATCCACAAATATTTTTTCTTGACCCAGATAATAAAGCAAAGCAGCACAACTGTTTATTCCCTCTCCCTCGGGCTGTTCTAGGATGTTCTTGCCCCAGGTGGCCCCGGAGTCCCTTGAGCCCAAAGTCACTTGGAGTGAGGGTAAAGAGTGGTAGTGTGGCTTGGAACAGAGACGCTGGGGGGTGAGGTGGGAATTAGAAAGCAGAGATCATCACCTGGTCACAGCAGAGCCTTGCCTAATGGCTGACAGTTGTGGGATCCTCCTGACTCCGCTGACCTTGCATTGCTCAGGGAAGAGTTTCAGACAGCTCTACCTCTCCCACCAGCATACAGTAAGAGGAATACTTCCTCCAGCCCTGGGGAATTGGTTTAAATTGCAAGCTTACTTAAATTAGCATAATAGGAGAGAAACCCAAATCCTGCAAATTGGCCTGGTCCAGGTTATTAAGCTATTAAGCTGCAGGTGAGATTACCATCCAGTGCGTATGGGAGCAGCAGTTTGGCCCCTCCTGTGATTGGCAGTGTGGCTTAGAGGAGCCCAGAGAGAGAACTGGCCGAGTCCCGAAACTCCACCTTGTAGGAGTAAAGCCCCCTCTTCTTTAAAAGTTATGGAGCCTGAGGGAAATCAAGGCCCACCCAGAGCCAGGAAGACCCTTAGTCTAGCAGAATCTGGTTCATGGCAGGAACTGACCAAACAATGCCACTTCAGCCCTTCCGTTATCACTGCTCCATCTCCCCATAGCCTCCTCATAGTGGAAAGCTTTGGGTACCCTTGCTAGCAAAGCCAGTTGGGCAAGGAAGAGAAGTTAGGATCTGTGGGATGGAGCCATTAAAACCCGCTATGTATAACTGGCGGGAGGGCCAAACCTCAGAGGGGCCCTGCCTCTCCTTTTGGAGAACTTCCCTGAGGACCTGTTTTCCATCCCAGCCTTGTTTCCTTCTTTCTCCTAATAGTGCCAGGCCCAGGGTGAGGAATTCTTGTCCACTTATTTTCTACTTGCTTCAGGGGCCTCCCTCCACTCCATGTTGAGCCCACTTAGCCCCATAGGGCAACAACTCTTTGGCCCTTCCCTTGATGCCACCAATCCCTACCCCTGCCCTCTGGACCAAGGGCCACACAGTGAAAATCAGAAACACAGTTGACCTCTGCATGAGTGGCCAGCAACCCTAGAGAGGGGCCTGGCCTAGGGTAGGACCAGCCACTTTCAGTGACAATAGAAAATAGAGTGGAAGGTGACTTAGTCTGGGTCAGGTTCTTTGCTCCTCCTTAGAGGTACCCTGAATAGGTTCTGGGCTAGCATTCATAGGAGATTCATAGGAGAAGGAAGGGAGGGCTGGGTTGTAGAAAGAAGTCCGTTATGCCTGCCCCCACCTCCCCTAGCCCCCATCGGCTGTCCAGTAAGTTGGCCTGTGCACTGGGCTGGGATGGTGAAATATGACAACACAGGGCTATAAGGCTACTAGCTAAGGCTACCCTACCTGGGCAAGGCTTAGGCTCTTTGGAGGCCTCTCAATGGGGCCAAGACAGGCCCATGAGAGCGGGGAGGGGGGCTGTTCTAACTGACACTTCCAGAGAAAATGAGCTGACTCTAGCTCCCTCAGAGCCATGCAGCTCAAAGAAACTTATGGCTCCTCTGTGCATGCTCCTTTGGGGAACCTACATAAAATTGAGAGATCTGTAGATTTTATTTATAACTTAGAGATGTGTGATCTTAGTTGTGATCTTCATGTCTCATTATTACAGCAATAGCTCTCCTTCCCTGCACAGGATCTGGGTCAGGGGAGCAAATAAGTGTCTAATCTTTCCACCTGCCTCTCTCTCTGACATGACCCTGAAGATGAAGAGAAGTACAATATGACATTAGGTTAAACAGTCCTTTGCCCTGTACAGCTCTCTGGCAACATTAGCTACTTGTGCAACCTTGAAGTAGAGACATACCTAGAGCCACTTGCATTATCTTTTCCCATTGATGCCTAATCAATCAGGATTAAAGAAAAGATTGATTCTCAGTCTGAAATACAAGGTACTGACATGTAAAGTGGATGCTGAGCCCAAAGCTAACTTTCAGAAGCCACACCTCTGGTCTGGACTGCACCAGCCTTCTCTCTTATCTCTCTAGCTCCTCTCTGGTCCACTCCACATGGCCGGGGGTCAATCTACTCTTCTTATAGAGAAGATTGCCTTCCCAATCTAAAATCTTTTGGGAGCCATGCGACCTAGCTCCTGTGTATCTCCTCTCAGGCCCTCCATTCCCTGAATGAACCATGTTCCTTCCCATTTCATGGCCATTGCTTATGCTATTTCTCTCTGCAGCTCTCCCCACTGCCTCTGCCCTCAATCCTATGCTTTGCCTGGTGACCTGCTATTCAATTCTTCAGGTCTTGGTTGAAAGATCATTTCTATAGGGGACATTTTCCTGATATCACACCTCCCTCCCAGGCTAGGACAGGTCCCCCAGTTATATACTGTCATAGCACCATGGCCTACGTCTTCTCTGCCCGGTGATCCCTCTGGGGGCCTGACTCTTCTACTCTGTACTCTTGGCCTAGGAGGCCCTGCACCCCCTCTACCTGGTACCATTGTACTCATTCTGCCAAGCTTCCACTCAAACAAGTCCTCACTGATGCCTTCTCCAATTCTCCAGAGTAGGAATTACCTACTCTCTGTCTGTCTTTCCAGGATCTCTCTAGGCTTTTATTTAGGCCTGTTTGGTACCAATGGCAAGCTTTGAGCTCCATCACACAACTAAACTGTTGGCTGCTCCAGGAAGACACCGGACCTTGTCACCTTTTCACTATGGTGGGAGAAAACCCAAAACACGTTTGATGAACTGATCAATAGAGGTTCTCCAAAATTTCTGCTAACACAAAACATACCTGGCCATGGATGTTCTTTTTAAACTTCCTACTACACAGTTTCAACTGACACTTGGGAAAAATGTCTAGTGTTCTTTTCTTTTTGACATTTTCAGCCAAACGTTTCTATGTGATATGATGCCTAGGACTAAGTGCCAACTATTTATGTGGGCAGAAGGAAAGAACGACTTGATGGGAGGAGATAGAAAGAAATAAAAAGGACCAACATAGTCTAATTAAAATAAGATTTTTTTCTTAATCTTGTGAGTGAATACCACCATACTAGTGGCAATGACACTGAGAGCCCCCTGGGGCTGAGAGGGAAGCTGCAAAAAAGGTGTGCAGTGCTAGCTCCATAGACTAGGCTCTGGGACAGAGTCTGAAACACTCTGTATTAGATACTAACCCGTATCATGTGCCACTGGTGAGGAGGAAGACAGAGTGCTTTTCCCAAAGGGCGATGATCTCCCCAAATGATGACTCTTCTCAGGCGGCAGGAGTGCTTTCCCAGAATAACCTTTTTGCTCTTTAGTCAGCTGCTGCAGCAGATACTCATTAGTTACCACCAGGGATCTGAGGCATGGGCGAAAAAGACAGTCATGAAGTCATAAAAGCAAAGTCGTTGCCATTCTGACCTGAAATGTTTGCTAAAGATAAATGTAAAAAAATAAATAAATAAAAATTAAAAAATAAATGTAAAATGAAGTAACATCTTTAAATAGAAAGAACTGTCTGATTTATGAGTTGGTTATTTTAAAAGCAGGCAGACAGTTTATTTATTCATTGCAGTTCTGTTTACGTTCCAGACTGACTGTAGCAATAACATAGTTCACATTTTATATAGTGATTGTTCTGATCTTTCCAAAGCACTTTCATGATGAAGTAAGTAGACGCACGGGGAGACTAGCACCTGACCAGACCTCCAATTTCTATCCCCAAATCTTAATTTCTACTTCTTCTAATCTATCCTGCCTCTGCAATTAAACTCATGGTGCTAGTCATGACTGTATTCTTGGACTCTGTATTACCATGTAATGTTGGACGCTATCAGAGGCTGCCCCTCCCCGCCAAAAAAGATGCACGCACAGTGCTATTCACTGCAACACTATCTGCGAGAGCAAGACACTGTAATGTCTGTCAGTAGAGGACTAACTGAATACACACACAGCGGAGTCCTATGCATGTATAAAAAGAGCGAGAGCTAACTCTATACGCCACTGCAAAATGATTTCTAGATAAAATGTTAAAGCAACATTATGCCTCTTTTTATATAATAGAGGGGGAACACAAATACACACCCACACCTGCAATGGAAGGCTAGTGGGAAGGAAGGAAAGGATAGAGGAGACAGGTAAGGAAGCTAGATTTGTCTGAATTTATCTGATTTTGTGGATCTGACTTTGGGACCATGTAAGTTTTACATTAATTATACACAAGATTAAATCAAAATAATAAAAATATTCCCTATGAATCAAACAAAATGAAATGAATTGAACCTGTATATTGAATTGATGGTTTAACAACACACAGAAGAATTATTTCAAGTTACTCTAAAATATAGCATCACTAAAGATATATATCTTAATGTTCTCAAAGTGTGGTCCCTAGGCCAGAAGCAAGAGCATCACCTGGAAACTTACTAGAAATGCAAATTCTCAGTTCCCAACCCAGATCTGCTGAATCAGAAACTGGTGTGCTCTGGAAAGCAGTATTTTGATCCCTGAGCAAACTGGCCTGGATACAGGTGGTTTGCACACAGAATAGAGTTAATTTGAAAAGTATATAGATATTAACTTGCCAAGTAAGACAAAGGAGATAAAGGAAAGTAAATATCTGCTTCCAGAAGTCAGCTAGATGGACCCAGTCCTACCTCTGACTTTCGTGGAGAAGGGCCACTATCTCCTCCAGCTTTTTCAGCTGGGCAAGCTCCTGGTTCAGGCAAGCCACCTGCATGTTCAGCTGTTGGTTTTTGTGCAGAAGATCATCTACAAAGGTTACAGTAGCCAGGGGTGAGAGGATTCCAAGTGGCTAGTCTTGAGCAGAGCTTGAGTGATCAGGGAGACATCTTGAAGAGTTGGGGGCCCCACTGCACCCACCTCCACCCTCCATTCATCATTCCCTCCCTTGGAAACAGCAGATATAGTGGCAAGAATATAGGGTTTCACAACAAACATATCTGAATTAAAATTCAACCACTTAATCTTGCACGCTAGTTCATTTTGGTGAGTTTCACTAGAGCTAGTAACCATGCTGGGTAGCACTGTTATAAGGAGTCAGTGAGACATCTGTGCTCACATAGCATAGGCAGTCAACACATATTTGGTCTCCTTGTATTCTCCATTTTGGTTCATGAATGTATGTCCTTCACTCTGTACGGAATATGTGAAAACATCTAGAACTGTGTCAGGCACATGACAGTAGCTCAGTGAGTGCTTTCAGAAACTGGGTTTGTGGCCAAGGCATATCTAGCTTTCCAAATATGTTGCCACTGCCTGCAATAATAAGGTAGGTAAAAGCACAGGAACTCTGGTCCTAAGCAAGTCAGTCTTCTAGAACAGTACTTAAACTTTAATATGCTTACAGATCACCTGGGGATCTTTTTAGAAAACAGATTCTGATTCAGTAGGTCTGAGGTGAGGCCAGATGTTCTATAGGTCTAACAAGCTCCCAGGTGATGCTAATGTTGCGATGTGTGGCTCACATTTTGAGTAGCAAGGTTTTGGAAGGTGGAAATCAGGGCTGCAACAGCTGTATTTATCACCAGTAATCCAAAATAGAGAACTGGGTCTCATGGCTGATTGAAAATAGGTATCTGGGGCTTCCCTGGTGGCGCAGTGGTTAAGAACCCGCCTGTCAATGCAGGGGACATGGGTTCGAGCCCTGGTCTGGGAAGATCCCACATGCCACGGAGCAACTAAGTCCGTGCGCCACAGCTACTGAGCCTGTGCTCTAGAGCCTGCGAGCCACAACTACTGAAGCCTGCGTGCCTAGAGCCCGTGTTCCGCAACATGAGAAGCCACTGCAATGAGAAGTCCGCACGCCTCAACGAAAAGTAGCCCCCGCTCGCCGCAACTAGAGAAAAGCCCGCGCGCAGCAACGGACACCCAACGCAGCCAAAAATAAATAAATAAATAAATTTATTTAAAAAAAAGAAAGTAGGTACCTAGTGAATAAACACCTATTTATTTTCAGTGCAGGTAAGTGGAGAATGATGTCTTGATAATTCAGGCTTATGAATATCAGATAGTGATGAGATTCAACTCTGGAAATTCAATGCTGATTTCCAAATCAAATTCCTCATTCAAATCCAAATACCCATAATGTTTGTTTGTGGGTGCTGAGCTAGAAGCTTAAAGTCGAGGTAGACTTTATCTACCTAAACTATACTAATAATAAAGTAGTACAAATCAAGAATTCAATGTATTATTTTTCAAGTATATATTCAAGTATTATTTTTCACTTATCATAATGGCAAAAAAATATAATACCCAGTGTTGGCAAGGGTGAAATGAAAAGGCATTCAAATACATACTTACTGCCGATATAAGTGTAAACTGAAACCATCTTTCTTGGGAATGATGTGTGTAACCTCATGATGTGTGTAAACCTCGAAAATGTCCACATCTTTTGACCCACTAATTCTACTTCTAGGAATGTCTGCTAGGAAAATAGTCTAAAATGTACACAAAGATCTATATACACAGATATTAATAGCTGCATTGTTTATCACAGCATAAATATTAGGACTCTCAGCTCCATCAGAAGAGAAGAAAGAGAATCTTAGAGAAGCATTTTCACTCTAGGGTCTTCTATTTCAGGTCTTTCGAATGTTTGGAAATTCTTAGAATTAGAATTATTTATAATATAAAAGTGGCAGCTTTATTTAATAGCTAACATTAAAAACAACTATATAGAGAACTGAATAGAGAAATATGGTATATTCGTGTAACATTATAGGAAATGCCTGTGCTATTAAATTAATAACATTAGGTTGTAGAAATCAATTGCCTAGGGTAGAGAGTAGTGGGAACTGAGTGCACAAGGGTCAAACTTTCTAGAGTACAGAAGTGTTCTGTATTTTGACTGGGATGGAGTTAAATGAATATATATATATCTGTCAAAACTCATCAAACTTAAAATGTGTGTATTTTGTTGTACATAAATTAGTTTTTAAAAATCAAGACACAAATTTTAATTCTGAGTTAAATATATGTATAGGCATATGGTGAAAGAAAATATACCAAAAACACTAATTGTAGTTATTTCTGGGTAGTGAGATTATATTTTCCTTATATTTTTCAAACTTTCTGTAAAGAACACGATCTTCTGCTATAATCAGAAAAAACAAGTGTCTTTCTCAAAAATAATGACAATAATAACACATTTGTAAATGCTTTACACTGATAAAAGAGTAAACTCTTTTACTCTGGTAACTCAAGTCACCTGCATTACAACTCTGAAGCTAGATGGTTGTTTCCATTTAGGAAGCCATGTGAGCTCTGGATGACGAAGCTTATTAAACGGGCCATCTATAAACAAACGGTTGTCTTGGGATGCACCACACATTGCTTTCCTGAACTTACCATAAGTGTGGGACTGGTGCGCACTCACAATCGAGGTGGTAGCACCTTCCTCCAATTGCTGGATTTTTTCTGACAAAATAAGGTTTTCCTCCAGCACTCTGACCAGTTTTTGCTTCAAACTTTCCTTTAGATTAGAAAACAAAATACAAACACATTAAGAATCTGAAATTCTGAGGACTGCTTTTAGAAAACTGAAAAAATCTTTCCTCTGTTTAGTGATAAACTGAATGGAGGTCAGCATCTCTCTTTCTCACTAGAATTTTAATTCATTGGTAAACATAGCTCAAGTGCAGCAAACAAATTTATCACATGCAATTGCAATCTTTCCTGTGAGTTATCCACTACTCTTGCAGAACAAGTGGTTGTTCTGACAAGTGGCCAGCATCTGAGTCACCTATCTAAAGTTTCTAGAAACTAAACTGGATGCCCGAAAATCCTCTAATGTTAAGAAAAGGGGGGGAAAAAGCCTAAGAATATGAGTCCCTTCTTTCGCTCCCAGAGCCAGCAGCCTAACACTCTAGGAATGGCCCCTGGTTTAGGGCTCTCCATTAGAAGGGAGGAAAGATAATCCCAGAGACATCTAACTTCCCTCATCTGAATCAAACCATAACCTTCAAGAACATTGTCCTAAATGGTTTCATTCTAGGGCCTTCTTTTTTTCTTTTTCCATTTCAAGTCTTTCCTTAGAATTTTTGGATTAGGGCTAGGATTAGGGAGTCATCCCTGCAAAACCTCCAAGCTGTCCCTGCAAGTTTTGTGTTCCAGATTTGCACAGACTGACTTTTCTAAATTTCAGTTCAGAAACATCTAGATGCTCATGGTGATGATGTTCTTTATGGCACAGACCTGTTCTAGTCTTGTGCCCCATCCTTTTCTAGTAAAGGAAGAGTAGGAAAAGAAGCTGAGAGCAGCATACCATGTCATTAGGGACCAGCTGCCCCGTCGTCTTCAGTTCCATCTCCCTCTTGTGGGAGGGTTTTGATGTATCTTCAGGACGTGAGTGACACCACTGCTGAGAAGGAGCAGGGACTACCAAAGTCAGAAGCAGATCTCGGGCAGGACCTGCCAAAAATTCAGGTTGGGCACACGGGCCAATCTTAAAAGCTAAAGCACAGAATTCCTGGTCAATAACTACCAGCTCTGTAGGACAAACAGGGTAATCTAATATCCCCTTTTTTCAAGAATTTAGTAAGTGGCTGTAAGAGATGTTTCATGATGGAGATAAAAAATTATCGGCTTCCCTGGTGGCGCAGTGGTTAAGAATCCACCTGCCAATGCAGGGGACAAGGGTTCAAGCCCTGGTCTTGGAAGTTCCCACATGCCACGGAGCAACGAAGGCCGTGCGCCACAACTACTGAGACTGCGCTCTAGAGCCCGCGAGCTACAACAACTGACCCACGCACCACAACTACGGAAGCCCGCGTTCCTAGAGCCTGTGCTCCGCAACGAGAAGCCACCGCAATGAGAAGCCCATGCACCGCAACGAAGAGTAGCCCCCGCTCACTGCAACTAGAGAAAGCACGCACGCTGCAAGGAAGACGCAATGCAGCCAAAAATAAATAAATAAAATTAATTTAAAAAATTATATCCCACATCTATGGAGAAACAACAGCAGACCCACGTGAGTGCATGCTCTGTGCTATTATCTAATCACTGATGAGTGGCTCCTGGGGATAATTTCCTACAAAACAAGAGCAAAGGATCAATGTGGGAAGGAAAGTAACTGGGCTAAGACTTCTTTTCCTGTATGTCCCTTTAGAAATGAAAAAAAGAGGGCTTCCCTGGTGGCGCAGTTGTTAAGAATCTGCCTGCCAATGCAGGGGGACACGGGTTTGAGACCTGGTCCGGGAAGATCCCACATGCCTCGGAGCAACTAAGTCCGTGAGCCACAGCTACTGAAGCCCGCGCGCCTAGAGCCCGTGCTCCGCAACAAGAGAAGCCACCACAATGAGAAGCCCTCACACTGCAACAAAGAGTAGCCCCCACTCACCACAACTAGAGAAAGCCCGCGCACAGCAACAGACCCAGCGCAGCCAAAAATAAATAAATAAAAGAAATTTAAAAAAAGAAAAGTTAAGCCCAAACAACTTTAAAGTTTCTAGTTTTTTACTTAAACTTTTACCACCACCAACAGCTCCTTGAATTCTTCTTACATTAAACAACAAATAAACACATGGGGACAATATTTGCAAAACTGTTTTCTCCCAAGTTCCTAAAAAAGAAGCCCTAAAAAAGAGTCCACATCATTTAGTCACTGGAGTTTTTTGAATCATATTTTTCGAATCGAATATTTCAACAGGCATCTCAGAACTCTAATGATCAAACCCAATTTCTGTTGTATTTATTGTTGGCACTTTCCCAAGGATCATAAAATCCTTTTGTAATCATTAACATGACCATGCTCTATTTTATATCTCATCACTCAAAGACTGTCAAGAAAAACTTACAGGAGGAACAAGACAATTGGTACATGAGGGAAGAGTGCTGATAAAAACAAACAGGGAAGGGAATTCTCTAGAGGTCCAGTGGTTAGGACTCGGTGCTTTCACTGCAGTGGGCCCGGGGTTCGATCCCTGGTCGGGGAATTAAGATCCTGCAAGCTGTTCTGTGCAGCCAAAAACAAACAAGCAAACAAACAACAGGTTAGAAGAAGATTATAAGAAAAATGCAGGTTTGTCAATCACTGTGTGGCTGAGAAATTTTGGTAAGTGATCATGAGAACAATTTTCCCTGCAAGTTAAGGGGACTGAGTGGCTTTTATCAGAACATAGAGCAGAAACACGAAGCAGAAGCAAGGTCTGAGCCCTTCTCCAGGAACTGAGAATGCACTCACTTACCCAGAAACTTCTTGTTGAGGAGGAGGGAGCCGGAACCGTTCCAGTGCTTATCCACAAGCTCCAGGAGCTGTCTGAGGACAGTGGCCACATGGGATGCTCTGGCAGAGATTGGGGGACTGTGGTTTCCTGGCAAACCATGCAAACTGCCCAGGTCACTAGAGAGAGGCTCAAGAAAAAAAACAAAAAAACCAACCATTTGTCATTCTAATGCAATAAGGGAAGTAAAAATCCAGACATTTAAAGTGTTAACATTGGGCTTCCCTGGTGGCGTAGTGGTTGAGAGTCCACCTGCCGATGCAGGGGACACGGGTTCGTGCCCTGGTCTGGGAAGATCCCACATGCCGCGGAGTGGCTGGGCCCGTGAGCCATGGCCGCTGAGCCTGCGCGTCTGGAGCCTGTGCTCCGCAATGGGAGAGGCCACAACAGTGAAAGGCCCGCGTACCGCAAAAAAAAAAAAAAAAGTGTTAACATTAAAAAAAGAAAGTTGGTTTCATCTTTCAATTTGGATTTGAATAGAATATTAATGTCTAAGGCAAATACAATAATATATACAAGGATAATTTCAAAGGTAACAGTATCTTCTATGATAATTTTCTGTAGAGATTTTTAGAAGAAAACAAAAAATGTTTTAACACCTATGTCTATGGCTCAATGTATTATGTTATGTAATATGGAAAGATTAAACTGTAGAACATTTTTTAAGGTATTATATATCATAAAATAAAATGGGGAGTAATTTAATAAAAGTCATAACTCATAAGCTTATATTTAGTATATTAATATATAATAAACATAAATATCCCATAACATTTTAAAAGTTATGTTAAATGTTATTGTTGGACCCAGTACTAAAGACACTTTTTATTCAGTAAGAATCTTATGTATATAGATGTATAGGTAGAGCTCTCCAATGAAACTCCCAATTGTTTATTCATTCAGATATGATGTATATGTCTATTTATTTAGTCATGTCTGAATGAATAAAAAACAATTGGGAATTTTACTGGACAGATCAATCTACAAATCTTTTCTGTAGGGTCTCAAGGGACTTCAAGAAAGCTGTTATATATTAAAAACATCCAAATTATTTCTCAATCTTTGGCTCTTTTGATATTAAAACTATAGATGATTAATTAGATAATGCTGTCACATATGACAACTGTGAAGCAGAACACCAGACACTGATACCTATGACTTGAGTCACACAGGTGGTCTATAATTAATAAGGAAAAGCATTACAAATGGGATAAACATTTATTCAACAGATCTGTACTGAACACTGATCATGTGCATGGAGAGCTCTACATAAGGACTGTGAACATATGAAGAAGTAAAAGGTGAGGTCCTTAAGAAGTTAACAACCTGATTAGGAAGAAAAGTCATAGAAAAACTGGTTACACTACAAGCCCACTTGAGAGGATCTTGTCAAAAATGGATATTTACTGTCATTGATTTTTCATGTATTGGTAATTCTGTGTACGCATCATGGAACAACTTAGAAACACATACATGCCTTTACGTATTTTCTTTCATTTATCACAATGCAGTGAGAGTGAGGGATAATTTTTTTATGAACTTTGGAATAATTTTGTTACTTTTAATTTTCAGCAAATTAAAAGCTGAAAAGCCATGCCTCATGGCTTTTAAAAATTTTTTTTTTTTTTTTTTTTTTTTGGTACGCGGGCCTCTCACTGTTGTGGCCTCTCCTGTTGCTCCAGACGCACAGGCTCAGCGGCCATGGCTCACGGGCCCAGCCGCTCCGCAGCATGTGGGATCTTCCCAGACCGGGGCACGAACCCGCGTCCCCTGCATCGGCAGGCGGACTCTCAACCACTGCGCCACCAGGGAAGCCCTAAAAATTAATTTTTATAATTTGTCTATGATTCTAAAGTCAGTTGGTCAAAAATAAATTTTCACAAATTCATGTTTGGTTTAATTTTGTGTGTTTTTTTATATGGGATTATTTTTTATAACTTTATTTATTTTTTTAACATCTTTATTGGGGTATAATTGCTTTACAATGGTGTGTTAGTTTCTGCTTTATAACAAAGTGAATCAGTTATACATATACATATGTTCCCATATCTCTTCCCTCTTGTGTCTCCCTCCCTCCCACCCTCCCTATCCCACCCCTCCAGGCGGTCACAAAGCACCGATCTGATATTCCTGTGCTATGCGGCTGCTTCCCACTAGCTATCTACCTAACGTTTGGTAGTGTATATATGTCCATGCCTCTCTCTCGCTTTGTCACAGCTCACCCTTCCCCCTCCTCATATCCTCAAGTTATAACTTTTTAAATGCTATTCTGATTTATACCTTTCTAGAAACTGAACAATGTATTTCTTTTATATTTATATTCAAACAGCTCTTTTACAACTCTTCATATAAAGAAATATAGTACCTAACAGGAAAAAATAAATGGGAATTTTTAAGATAGTCCAGAAAAGTGCATTGAGATTTTAATTGCTATTTTAACAATCCTATCACATGAAATAGAGGTGGAAAAATCTCCTAGAACACGTCTTATTAATATAGCACCCAAATATCCTAAGTGTTTCTGTACCTTCGCCCTAAATACATTAACACCAGTGCTCTTTGTCTGGAAAAATAGGCATCAGTGGCTGAAAATGGAAAACAAAAAAGGACCAAAAAGTCAAAAAAGTATTACAAGACTGCCCCCTTTGGTGCACAAAAATTACAACCACCTCCAAAGTTTTGAAAACTGAATAGAAAGTATTTAAAGGGTAAAAAAACCAACCAATGAAACAACAAAACCCCCTTATAAACCCATGTCAATGTGCAAAAAGATTTCCATCAACTGAAAAATAAGTGACTAGAAATAGTTGTTTTTGACCAAATCCCCTGCTTTCTCACAAGGCAGTAAATGATTCGTATGACAAAGATTATGGGTTCAAGGGAAGAGCATGCCCCAAGAGCTATAGTTCTTTTAACTAATGAGAAGAAAGCTTCATGATGGAAGTAGGGCCTGGAGAAAAATTAATATTCAAACAGATGAGAGGAGAGAAGAAGGCATTCTCCATGGAGGGATGTATGCAATGGCAGCAACAAAACTTAGTTACTAAGTAAGAACAACACTAACTATCATACTACAATTTTATGAAATGATTGTATTGTGTATGTGGGAATGGCTCTTGATTTGTTGTTCATTCTCAGCTAAAAATCCCTTGGAAAATCTAATTCATCTTCTTAATCTAATTCATCTTGGAAAAAACTGGAATAATTTAAATTCCTGGAAAGGAAAGCAATCCTTTTAGAAGAAAGATCCCAAGCAAGTTAGTGATTTGTAGCCAAAGCAAATGTGTAAACATGATAGGATTATAAACATCAATGCTACAGAGATCACTCTTCAGCCAACCCTGAGGCCCTGGCAACTTCTGCATTCCTTCCTGTGGTAAACTCTGTTCACCACTTCTTATTATCAATGTACTTCTCCACCATGTTTATGCTCTGGAAGTAGATTAGGGACCCTGCTCCCTGTGACATAAATGAGGAAATGCTGCAGAAGGGGAATGACCTTCCCAAGGGCAAAAGAATCACAGGCTTTGGCCTGGCAGTATTACCCACTGGCCTCTGAAAATCCCTTTGAATTTCTACCTCTTTTCATCCGAAGCACCACCACCAAAACAGAACCCCATTCTGCTCTTGGACCTGATGTGATTTTGCACAAGCACAAACAAGCCAACACTTGCCTCGCTGCCTGTAGCATCTCTGAAACCATGTTTTGGATTCAGGGTATCAAGGATATTTTCTTTCCGTTTGGATCCTCTTCTCGATGGGCTTAATGACCCCTTGGTCAAACTCTCTCTGTTTTCTGAAGTCCCAGTAGGCAACAGCAGTGTCCGCAGAGAGTCTCCCAGGATGGTGTTGTTTGGGAAAGAACCATGTGCTGGTGTTAAATCGCCGAGGCTGGTGGATAAGTTTTGCTCTACATTCACCAGCAGAGCAGGGTCGCTGTTGAAATGGGTTGTGGCATACAGATCTGTGAAGGAAACAGGCCAGGAGATGAACCTGCTCTTCAACTCTCTCATGTCTTACTTCCATCCTTACCCTGTCTGGAGCCCAAGGGTCATAATGATCTCTCCCTAGCATATACCCTCAACTTTCTGGACCCTTTCTCTCTCCCTCCACCTGACAAAACCCCAACTCTGGTTAAATCCAACTGTGCACATACTCCAAGCCTACAGCAGAGCAGTGGGAAGTGACTGGAGAACAACATATATCTCTTTCCAACATCTTCACTTTAAATTCATAACCACTATCTTAACTGGGCCCGGCTATCCTAATACATTACTCTAATCAATTTACTCTTCTATTCTTTTTTTTAATTTTAATTTATATTGGAGTATAGTTGATTAACAATGTTATATTGGTTTCAGGTGTACAGCAAAGTGATTCAGTCTTACATATACATGTATCTCCTCTTTTTCAAATTCTTTTCTCATTTTTTAAAATGTTTATTTATTTGGCTGCGCTGGGTCTTAGTTGCAGCATGCAGGATTTTTAGTTGCGGCATGTGGGATCTAGTTCCCTGACCAGGGATCAAACCTGGGCCCCGTGCATTAGGAGCGAGGAGTCTTAGCCACTGGACCACCAGGGAAGTCCTACTCTTGTATTCTTTGAGATCACTATTTCACATCTCTCTTCTCCTCAAACTTCCAACACCTTCTCCCCCCTCCTCACTCTCAGTTGCTGATCTCTTTACTTCTCTGAGCAAAAGAGAGGCAATCAAAGAAAACATCTATGTGATCTAACCACTAAATCTACCAATTCCATCTGTATTTGTGTCTATAAATTCCCTCCCTTCCTTCTTGTAATAGATGAACTATCTGTGCTTCTATCCAAGGCCAGCCTCTCCACTGGTGGACTGGATTCCATCTCCTCTTGACCACTCCCCAATTTTTTTTCTTGTAATTGTCCCTTTTCTCTCCTGCATCATCAATTTTCCCTCTACTGGATCATTTCCACCATGATCTCCTTGATTCCATCCCCCTTCCAGCTACATTTCCATGTCTTTGCTCCCCTTCACTGCAAAACTCCTTGAAGGGGTCATATATACTCGGTAACTCTACCGCTTCTCCTTTGATTCTTTCTCGAACTCACCTCAACAAGGCTTTTATTAACAACGCATCTCCTGAAGCTGCTCACTAATGCGTTGCCAAATACCATGATCATTTCTCAGTCCCAGAAGTGTTAAAGACATCTATTAAGGACATCTGACAATGTATTTATAACTCCCTCCTTCTTGAAACATATTCTTCACTTGGCTTCCAGAATACCACTCCTTCTTGGCTTTTTTTTTTTTCCTCCTACCTTAGTAGCTGCCTCTTTCTTGCTCTCCATGATGGTTTCTCTTTATCTACGAGATTTCTAATTGTTGGAGGACTCAGATTAGTCCTCAGATATCTTTTCTATCTATATTCACTCCCTTGGGGAGATCTCATCTAGTCTGTTTTAATGCCATCCACACACTTAATTCCCAGCCCCACCTTCTTCCCTGAACTCCAGACTAATATGTCTACTTATCAAATTGGCATCTCTGAGAAGTTTTAATAGTCACCTCAAACTTAAGCTGACAAAGACCAACTCTTGGTATCCATCCTAAAACCTGTTCCTCACACTCTTTTCCATCTGAGTAAAATGGTAACTCCATTCTTCCAGTTATTCAGACTTGAAACCTAGGAGTTATCCTTGACCTTCTTTCTCTCACACTTCATCCTCAATCCACCAACAAATCATGGAGTGTTATCTTCAGAACATATTCAGAATCTATTTCTCACCACCTACACTGCTATCTCTCTAGTTCAAGCTACCATCATCTCTTATCCAGATTCTAATCTGTTAATTTTAAAAACTTCTATCCTTGCTCTCCATTGTCTATTCTCAACTCAGCAGCCAGAGTAATTCTTAAGTTAGATCATGTCACTCCTCTGCTACAAACTCTCCAACAGCTTCTGATCTCACCCAGAATAAATGTCTGGCTATCTGACTTCATCTATACTCTTTACCTGGCTCACTCTGCAGCAGCAGCCCTGGCCTCCTCATTGTTTCTTGAATATGCCAAGCATGTTCCAGCCTCAGGAACTTTGCACTTACTATTTCCACTGTCTAAAATTTCTCCCCCCAGTTATCCACATGGCTCACACTCTCACTTCATTCAAGTCTCTACTTTTATGATATCTCACCTGAGAAGCTTACCCTGACCATTCTATCTAAAACATCACCTCCTCCATATTACTCTCTAATATCCTTATGTTACTTTCCTTCACAACACTTATCATAACCTGACATATATTTTATGTTTATTTTTGTTTGCTACTTTATCTGCAGAGATAGAATAGTATCTGGCACATAGTGGGTATTCAATACATTTTGTTGAATAAATAAATAACTAAGGAGTGGTCTCTTACCCTTAAACTAGCTTTTTCTGAAAAAGTAACTCAGAATAGAAGTGCTTGTGGCCAGAGAAGACTAGATGTAACTAAAAATATGTCCCAGGATGCTATCAATATTTAACTAAAATAACATATAGTTATGAATCTGCATTTCTATAAATTGTCTATAAATTTTCTCTAATATATGTATCATGTTAAACACATACCCTGCAGATTTCTCAAGGCTCTATGGACCACTGGTGACTTTATTTATTTATTTATTTATTTTCAGCTTGCAGGATCTTAGTTCCCCAACCAGGGATTGAACCCACGCCCTAGGCAGTGAAAGTACAGAGTCCTAACCACTGGACTGCCAGGGAATTCCCCAATCTAAGAAATATTAATTCCAAAATTTCCAGTTATACTTCAATCTTCATGCCTATGAAAGAGGTCTATAAACTTAACAGGAAGCTATTACCTGAACTAAGCTTCAAAAGCCTTCCAGTGCTGAAGTCAGGGTTTGACAGAGAAGTCAGTAAGTCTCCGCAGGAATGGGATGTGGTGGCCTTCATGTTATTTGAAGGTTTTGTGCTATATTCTCGGTAGTTCCTGCTTCTCTGAGGCCTTTTACCAAGACTTCCATGCAGGGATGGATTTTGAGAATAATGACTATCATCATTTTCTAGACCAGCATCTGAAGTTAACTGATAGGGATGAATCTGTCTAGAATCACCCACATCCAGGCGTTTACCCAATGAGGCGTCATGGGTAAGCTGATAAGTATCAGGTTTTGGTATCAAATCCTTTTCTGGAGAAGAACCTGAAGACTTGTTGTCCAAAAAAGATATTCGGTACCCTTCTCTAGCCATCTTCTCTGGGGTTCGAACTGTGGATTGATGAGGCAAGTAGCGTCTGAATTCTAACCATCACCAAGGGGGAAAAAAAAACAAAAGACAATGAGAATTCTTCTTAGGGTATCCTTGTTCACTGGATATACCTCTGTCTACCAAAAAAAAGTTCTCAGGAAGAGATGGTTTATAATTTTTATAAATGGTAGCATAAAGTGATAAAAGGATTCCTACATGGAAAAACAAAACATGTTGGACATTGTGTAGACAGTAAAGAATCTGTAACATTCTGGAGACAAATTTCATGTCAACCTAATCCTGTATGAATTTCCTTCTAAAACTGTAGTGTCAGAGTTTTCTATATACGATTTCTACTATTTTGGTGCACTCCCACATGACAAAAGTTGTGATCTTAGGTATTCAGACAATAGTTGGTAGGTCTATGATTTCATAGATGCCTCGCAATAAAGCTAAACTCACTCCTACCCCCAACCTCTACCCAGAGGATCTAGGTTCACACATTGGGAACCACTATCCTAAGCAAATTAAATGGCAGGAAATGCAAAACCTATGAAAATCCCTAATCCAGCTATAAAGTATTTCTCTCAGACAGGTGTATCTGTCATCTCCAAAAAGCCTCAGAGTAGGGCAAGTAGAGTATCAGACAAAAAGAGAAGTCTTTGTGCTCCGTGGGGCTTTCAGAGATTCATACGCTTGAAGGCCTTCCTGAGTTAGTCACATTAACTTTAAAAAAGTGGAACCAAGTACCTTCTATCTCTACAGAACCTTTAAGAATATCAACATTTTTACCAAGGGCCAGTCTATACAGTAGGGGAAAGGTTATAGAACAATATCTTTATGTAAGAAAAAGAATCTAAGAACAAGTAATGAGATTAGATAATTCAGACTATCCCTCCTGTTGAAGATATTTAAAAAGTGGGATGATATACGTTCTTAAAAGCATCAAAGAGCTAATAAGCTAGTGAGGAATATCTAGGCCAAAATCTAGAAAACCGCAAGAACTCATATAGGTGTGTCTAGCACTTAAAGTGACTTTTACCCTAAGGCGCTTTAGAGTGAAAGGTACAGAAGTCCAAGTTCAGGATCCATCCAAGGTAAGGAGTAGGAGAAACCATCCCCTCACCCACTCCCCACATTAATATGGAATCCTAATCAGGATATAATCTTCAAAGTTAAGGTAAACTGGAAATAAACCAGCCCTTGTACACTGGTAATCCAGGTTTGCATCATCTGGGTGGTCCAGGGAACCTCAAGTCTTAAGCTTGGATTAAGGTGATTCCAGGCTGATAGTTCCCCAGGCAACTGGTAGAAGCAAATGAAAATCTGATCTGGAAAAGATATCTTCATGTAAGACTTTAAATCATTCCTACAAATAGTTTTTAAAATACAATAGCCAGCAAGTAGCCAAAACAAAAAAGGAAATAAGACAACACAAGTGAGAATGAGTAGAAAAACCAGACAACATGCACAAAAATTGGAATTAACAGATGCAGCCTATAAGATGGCTATTTTTACTATGTTTAAAGATACATAAAACAGCTGGGTGGGCTTCCCTGCTAGCGCAGTGGTTGGGGGTCCGCCTGCCAATGCAGGGGATGCAGGTTCATGCCCTGGTCCGGGAGGATCCCGCATGCCGCGGAGCGGCTGGGCCCGTGGGCCGTGGCCGCTGGGCCTGCGCGTCTGAAGCCTGTGCCGCCAAAAAAGTGACCCAGCAGATTTGAAAAAGAACCAAATCGAATTTATAAAACTTAAAATAAACTACTGAGATTAAGAATTCAGAAGACAAGCTTAACAACAGATTAGACACAGCTGAAAAGAATGTTAGTGAATTTAAATATGGGTCAGAAGGAGTTATCCAGAATGCAGATCAAACCAAAGAAAGATAAAAAATATAAAAGAATAAGAGACAAAGAGGACAAAGTGAAAGAGGACATACATTTACTTAATCAAGAGTCCCAGAAGGACAAGATAGAAAAAATGGGACATAAATAATTTTTGAAGCACTTTACAGAAATAATGAGACAGAATTCACAAATTCAAGTGTAGTAAATACCAAACAGGATAAACAAAAAGAAGTCCACACACCATAGTGAAATGCAGAAAATCAAAGACAATTGGAAAATCTTAAAAGCAGCCAGAGGAAAAATAAGACAGATTATCCTTGCAGGAGTGACAAATTTCTAGCTCAGTGGTCCCCAACCTTTTTGGCACCAGGGACCGGTTTTCGTGGGCGACAGTTTTTCCACGGACCTGGTCGGGGGCGTGGGGGTGTTTCAGGTGGTGATGCAAGTGATGGTTCAGCCAGTGATGTAAGCGATGGTTCAGCTGGTAATGCAAGCAATGGGGAGCGATGGGGAGTGGTAGATGAAGCTTCGCTCACTCGCCCATCGCTCACCTCCTGCTGTGCAAGCCCAGGGATGGGGGTGGGGGGGACCCCTGTTCTAGCTGACTTCTCAAAAGCAACTACAAAAGATAGAATACAGTGTAATACCTTCAATATTTTGAAAGAAATAACTGCCAACATAGAAACTTATACCCAGGGCTTCCCTGGTGGCACAGTGGTTGAGAATCTGCCTGCCAATGCAGGGGACACAGGTTCGAGCCCTGGTCTGGGAAGATCCTACATGCCACGGAGCAACTAGGTCCATGAGCCACAACTACTGGGCCTGCGCGTCTGGAGCCTGTACTCCGCAACAAGAGAGGCCGCGATAGTGAGAGGCCCACGCACCGTGATGAAGAGTGGCCCCCGCTCGCCGCAACTAGAGAAAGCCCTTGCACAGAAACAAAGACCCAACACAGTCAAAAGTAATAAAAAAAAAAAAAAAAGAAAGAAAGAAACTTATACCCAGCCAAAATACCCTTTAAGAATGATAGTGAAATTGGGGCATTTTCAGACAAAAACTGAAAGAATTCATCACGAATAGATCCACACTAAAGAAAATTCTAAAAGATGTACTATAAGCTAGAGGAAAACTATCTCAGAAGTGAAGTCTGGGATTAAAAAAAAAGAGACGTAAAGGGACTGCCCTGGCAGTCCAGTGGTTTAGAATCCATGCTTCCAATACAGGGGGTGCGGGTTTGATCCCTGGTCAGGGAACTAAGATCCCACATGCCGCGTGGTGCGGCCAAAAAATTAAAATAAAAAAAAAAGAGCAAAGTGGTAAATACATGGATAAATTTAAATGAACAATGACTTTATAAAAATAGTATCTTGTGAATTTTAAAAATATAGAGAATTAAAATCTATAATAATACATAAATCAGGAGGGATTAAAAGGAGTAAATTACTTTAAGGTCTTTGAATTATACAAGAGAAGAGTTAAGGTATTGATTAATTTTAAAGTTGAATAAGTTAAGGACACATATTATAGTTTTGGGAATAATACCAAAAGCATAGAAACAGTGTGTAACTTGTAAACTAGCAGAAAGAAAAAAATGGATGAATAAAAACATAATAGGGCTTCCCTGGTGGCGCAGTGGTTGAGAGTCCGCCTGCCGATGCAGGGGACGCGGGTTCGTGCCCCGGTCCGGGAAGATTCCACATGCCGCGGAGCGGCTGGGCCCGTGAGCCATGGCCGCTGATCCTGCGCGTCCGGAGCCTGTGCTCCGCAACGGGAGAGGCCACAACAGTGAGAGGCCCGCGTACCGCAAAAAAAAACAAAAACAAAAAACATAATAAATCCAAAAGAAGGCAAGAAAGGTAAAAGAAACAAGGAATAGTCAGCCAATACAAAAAGTCAAGAACAAAGGAAGTCAGAATATCCACTCTTCAACCTGAAAGAACTCACAGGTCACTAAGCATCCAGGGCAGCCCCTTATGAAAGCAGAAAAGAATTCATCACGTAGTCTCCCAGGACTGAGACATCTCCATCTTCTCCCAAATCCCATCACACCTAGATTTCTCTGACTAGTGTGGAGAAAAATACTGTAAGCAAAATATTTACCATCTTCCTGGTGATTCTCACTTGGTATCTCCTTTCTTGCCACTTCCTGCATCTAAAAAAAAGTTTGAAAGTTTAGGAGAAGGGAGTCAATGGGCATTCAGACATGAGTTTAACTAGAACAGGGAGGTTCAGAATACTTTCCTATTAGTAAGCAAGTCCATCCTTGCAAACTAGGGGAAAAGATCTTCAAGCAAAGGTCCAGATTTAAGCTTATTTTAAAATAGTCACAATACAAAGAGATTCTAGAGTTGCTCTGGAGCAGATAAGGAGATGCCTTGAAAAGACAAAATATCCTTAGATGGTAAAGGACATACCAAACAGTGAAATATTGTATTTTCTCTGCTTTAGATAACTCAGCATAGAAGTTAGATGGTACCACCTTTTCCAACTTATTTCTGCTTGAAGAACTCCCATACTTATTTTACCTCTAGTAAAGCTGAGTATCAACCATAGGAGCTACTGAGACTTTTTAATAGGCTGAAAATTAATCTAAGGCATAATTGAGCAAGGATTGATACAAAGTAGAAAGCTTTCTAGAGTTTGCTTTTTACAAAATCATCTTCAAGTATTCAGCATCTTTTTGGTAGTTATGCAGAGAAAGAAATCTTACTTCCTATTTCTTAAACTAAGAGGACATATAGTAGGCTATTCAATTTCTTCTTCTCTCGCACTTCAAGAAGTAATTTCAAAGTTTTTAATCTAAAAAGTGCTATTTAATGTTAACTGTAGATTATAGTATATTTTGTCTCCATTTCCTTTAAAAGAATACCAAATTTTTAAAAAAATGGTAATTGAAAAAAAAAAATGGTAATTGAAATAGTTTCTAAATTACCCAAGTAGAATCTCCAAAAACAAAGAAACCAACTAAATGTTAATCTGTCTTTTTATAAAATGAAGGTATTATAAATTCAACCTGAAATCTTACTATATTTTTCTTTGTACAGTGTTGATTATCCAAACTGTGGATTAATCAGTCTTTCCTTCTCTTCTTTCTCCTTCTGGCTATTTTCAGCAAACTTATTGCTCATAATTTATCAATAAAAATGCAGACAAAAGGAGAAGTTGAAGTAGTCAATTCTGCTTCCTGCATCATATTCATTCATATAAATAAGTAATGGACTCCCACCAATTTTTTTCTCTAAAAACTAATTTTTAATTCTTCCCTCATCTTGCATGGTCTCTATCTCTTCATTGCCCACAACTTCTATGCCATCTTTACCGCTTAACTTTTCTTTTTTTGTGTTTCAATGAAGAGGCAGTGTTGGGAGAGCCACCCCTGAGATGTTAAGATACAGTAATTAAAAGGCAGAGGTAGAAAATGTAAAGAAGCCAGGTAACAGGAAATGGAGACATTGGGTAGAGAGGAGAATACTGAAAACCAGACAAAACCTGTAACAGTTGTATCCCTGTTTGAGTGCCAAAATGCCTGGCATAAAATGTGCTAAAGTTATATGTATAAATATACTACATCTGATCAGGTACTGGGGGAGAGGGAAAGGGGAGATTGAAATTAATGGAGAAGGCCCTTTGCATCCTGTCTTGTGCTTTCCTTTTAAAGTGTCTAACATGCCTTCATCAAAAAAGTCCTCTTAAGTCAGACAGAGAAAGACAATATCATATATAGCTTATATGTGGAGTCTTAAAAAATGATACAAATGAACTTATTTACAAAACAGAACTAGAGTCACAGATGTAGAAAACAAACTTAATGGTTACCAAGGGGGAAGGGGAGAGGGATAAATTGGGAGATTGGGATTGACATATACACACTACTATATATAAAACAGATAACTAATAAGAACCTGCTGTATAGCACAGGGAACTCTACTCAATACTCTGTAATGACCTATCAGGAAAAGAATCTAAAAAAGAGTGGATATATGTATATGTATAACTGATTCACTTTGCTGTACAGCAGAAACTAACACAAAATTGTAAATCAACTACACTCCAATAAAAATTAATTTTAAAAAGTCCTCTTAGACCTTCACAATAATTGAGAGTCCACTGGATTATTAGCATTAATCATTGATTAGTCAACAGATCAGCAGGAAAGTGAGTACATTACCTGTGTCCCCAGTGGCAAAGTGTCTAATTTCTGATCTGGTATACCATTGCCCTGGGTTACAGAAGTACTTGTTGGGGAATCCTTTATTTCCCAGTTAGGGAAGGGAATAAAAAGTCCTTTGTTTGAGCCTGTGTCAAAAGAAAAGGCATACAATGAAGCACTGACCAGACTTTAAAGGCAACATGTCATATGGAAAGATACTAGAAGAGAAGTCACAAGATTGAGAGTTAGTCCTGGTTCTGCTACTTGGAGACCATGTGAACTTGGACAAACTGCTCAACCTCTCTCAATCTCTCCACTTGTAAAACAGTGATGATAAAATCTAAATTTTCTTTCTCTTAGAGTTGAGGTGAGGTTAAAACAAGACAATGGATATGAAATGGCTTCATAAATTATGAAATGCTCAAGAGAAATTAAGAAGAAGGCAAATATTTTGCATATTTCTGAAGTGAATATATAATAAACTTTGACACCAATTCAACAATCTCCAGCTACAGGGGGAGATGGCTGGAAATAGACTCCTGACATCAGGCATCTCCAGGGCTTTAATCAACAGTCTGCAATGATTTGTCATTTTAAATCAGCTTCATCATTTCAAACCAGCTTCTTTCTGCCTTGATCTCCTCATTTGTTCAAAGAAAAAGACTAATCAGGACCTATTTCATAGAAACAAATGCCAAATCCTTAGGTTTCCCAGTATTTTTGCCTACCATTAGAGAAACAACTTTAAAAATAGAAAGGAAAAACAAACAAAAACTGTATCCTATCCTGGCCACCTCAAAAAGAGTTTGTTAGGATTTCTATTAGATTGTAACACTTGTACAAAAGTTTTTGCATATACTTGATCAATACTTATTGATTGCAGAATTCTGGGATTTGGGGTCTTCTGGGGGACCCATGGATGAAAATAAGAGGGTTTTTTTTAGGGAGGTTTTTTTCTCTAGTAGGATTGGATAAGAATTAAGATAGTTTCCAAAGTTTGGGCCTTAGTCAAACAGTGTGCTCTTCTGCTAGTTCCCATGTTCAGGCTCTGGCAACAGAAAGCTACTATAAGGCAGGGCAACTGAGAATACAGAGTGAGAATAAAGCCAGCCTTTTGAAAATCCAGCCCTTTAGTCCATTTGGAGCTCTAAAATGCTTCTTATTTCTGAGTTGCCTTTTGGGAATGAAATGTCCTACTACTTCAATACAAGATGTTCTTCCACCCTTGTACTTGACAGAACTGTATTTCTCAAAGTGACATAAGCTGTCAAAGTTTATGTTCTGTGGTTCCTTTGCAGTAGCAACACAGGAAGAAAAAAAAAACCAAGGTGAAGCAGAAATTGCTGATTTTAACCTGATTCTTAGTAGAAAATTAGAATGGTTAGTAAGCTGTGACTTTGGGTTCAAGGCTCCTCTTAACCCTTTCCTACAGAACAACACAAACTTCCCAGGTGTCCAAGACCCAGCTCCATCCTGGTTTTTGTTCTACCCTGCTAATACTCTTTTTTAGATTCACAGGTTCTTTTTCTTTCAGCCTACCTCTTGGTTCAAACAAATCCCCCAAGGTCCAAACTCTTTGCTGGATGCTATCATACCTTCTCTTTGGTGTCAGCTATCTCCCAAATCTGGTTGACCTTAAATCTAACTCTCTTAACTCTGATCTGTCGTTTCATGTCCAGACAAGTTTTTTGAACTGCCCCCCAAAGTGTGCCCTATAGACAACTAAAAAGTCAGTATTTTCTTTTTTTGTGTGTGTGGGATTTTAATTCCCCGACCAGGGACTGAATCTGGGCCCAGCAGTGAAAGTGCTGAGTCCTAACCACTGGACCACCAGAGAATTCCCAATTATTTTCTAAATCGAACTCATAATCTTCACTTCCAGGCCTACTTCTGCTGATGGTCCTCACCTCCATCCCTAACCCTCGTCTTAATACTGGCATTCCTATTCACCCAATCCCTCAAGATAGAAACTTGTTCTTTGATGTTCTCTCTCTCATCTCAAATGTCAATCAATTATCAAATTCTATAGAATCACTTTTTTTGGTGGGGGGAATCTTTATTTTAATTGAGGTATAACGTACATGCCATGTAAGTCACCCTTTTACAGAATACAATTCAGTGATTTTTACTGTATTCACAAAGTTGTACAACCATCACCACCTTCACTTTCATCACCCCAAAACAAACCAAATTAACTGTCACTCTCAATTCTCTCCTCCCCACCAGCCCCTAGCAAACATCAAATAGGATTTGCTTATTCTGGACATTTCATGTAGATGGAATAATGTTTGACCTTTTGTATCTGGTTTCTGTCAAGTAGCATGATGCTTTCAAGATAAATATTGTAGCATGTATCAGTACTTCAATCATTTTTAGGCTGAAAAATATGCCTTATATGGATATGCCATTATTTTGTTTCTCCATTCATCAGCTGATAGACTTTTCGGATATTATGGATAATGCTGATTTCATTCCTGTACAAGTCTTTGTGTGGACATATGTTTTCATTTCTCTTGGGTATATATCTAGGGGTGAAATTGCTGGGTCAAATGGTAACTCTAACTTTTTGAGGAACTTCTAAATTGTTTTCCAAAGAAGCTATACCATTTTCCTTTCCCACCAGAAATGTATGAAGGTTCCAATTTTTCCACATCTTTGCCGTCACTTGTTATCTGTGCTTTTGATTCTAGCCATCCTAGTGGGTGTGAAATGGTATCTTCCTTGTGGTTTTGATTTGCATTTCCCTGATGGCTAGTGATGTTGAATATCTTTCATGTGCTTGTTGGCTAGTTGCATAACTTCTTTAGAGAAATGTCTATTCAATCTTTTGCCCATTTTCTAATTGGGTTGTTTGTCTTTTTGTTATTGATTTGTAAGAGTTTTTTGTATAGAATGGATACTAGACCCTTGTCAGATATATGATTTGCAAATATTGTCTCCCATTCTGTGGGTTGCTTTTTTACTTTCTTTGTTTTCTTAATTAATTTATTATTATTATTATTATTTTGGCCACACCTTGCGGCATGAGGGATCTTGTAAGTTCCCCAACCAGGGATGGAACCCATGCTCCCTCCAGTGGAAGCACGAAGTCCTAACCACTGGACTGCCAGGGAATTCCCCAGCTTTTTTAACTTTCTTGATAGTGTCCTTTGAAACACAAAAGTTTTAAATTTTTATAAAGTGTGACTCATCTATTTTTTCTTTGGTTGTTACACTTCTGGTGCCATATTCAAGATATAGGCTCACTCCTGAAAAAGATAAACCGACACCTTGCTCTGCTACATTATGACTAAGCATGTCATGTACCACAGTCAGGAAAAATCAGGAAAAAGAAACAATTTGCATTCTGAGATAATTTTTTTCTTGTCTTATACTTCAATTTATTTTCTTCTTTTTCTTCAGATGTAAAATATATCCAACACTTAATTCCAAAATCAAATGTATTTATGACATTGTTGTCCAGCCCAGGTTTTTATACCCATATAACCAATGTGATAGGACCATAATTCATTATCTTTTTACCACTGAAAATTGTTTTATATTTTTAATGACAGAGAAATGGCTTTATAATGCTGATGCTGGTGGCAAAGAACTAATAGTTGGCTACTTCAATTACCAGTAATCTTATATGGATGAGGCCCTGCTTCACACATTTGGCCAAAAACCTTGCAACCCATCTGAGGTAGAAACAGAGATGCACTACCCAGATCCCTTTCAAGGAGGACTTGATTTACTCTTCAGAGTGTGTCTCAGCTACAGAGAACTACCTCCTGATGTCATGCCCTTCCAGAGGCAGTCCATATGCAGTGACCAAATGGGGCCCAGGGGCAGTCCTTGCTCTAGAGCTGTCCCTCTGCTCAACTCTGCTTCCTCTCCTTCCTTTCGATATTGATCTCTAATAAACATCTTGTACCCTAGATTCCACTGAGATAAAATTTTGAGAGCAGAAATAATGGGTCTAACACTAGCCTCCAAAATAAATGAAGGGGACTTCCCTGGTGGTCCAATGGTTAAGACTCCGTGCTCCCAATGCAGGGGGCCCAGGTTCGATCCCTGGTCAGGGAACTAGATCCCCATGCTGCAACTAAGAGTCCGCCACAACTAAAGATCCCGCACGTGGCAATGAAGATCCTGCGTGCTGCAACTAAGACCCAGTGCAGCCAAATAAATAAAGAAATATTTAAAACAAAACAAAAAAACCCAAAATAAATGAAGATTTGCTATTTCCTTTAAATTGCTTATCCCCAATGAGGACAACTTAATCCCAGACTTTTGAAATAATATATATGATATATATTATCATATATTATTAGTATATATAAATAATATATATTATAGTGTATATAATATATATTAATATATGATAGCCATTGTAGATATGATAATAATGAAAGGAAATTATAGTTTTTCCCGTCATGAACAGACTGCCTAAGTAATCTTCTGTTTTTCCGCCTTAAATACCTGATATGTATTTCATTCAAAATTCAACTCTTTGAAGTTTGGACTCCCTAGCAAAACATTGCAGGTAAAAACACTTAATGTTTTATCTCCAAGTTTTCTTTTCATATCCTCAAGGATTTAATCAATCTGTACCTCCTCATTTGCATTCACACTGCTATTATTGCCTTATGTCAGGACATGTCCTTATTATCTCCCATTGGGACTACTGTTCCAATTTAGAGTTATCTCTCTGTCACACATTTAATCATGCTTACCACCTAAAACACCTTTGCTACCCATTTTCAAGAGAATAAAATGAAAATGTTTAGTAAAGGGGCCCTTTGCAACTTGGCTTTAGTCAAGCACCTTAGCTCCAGTCACAAGCTGAGTCAATTTCCTAATCTGTCACACCTGTTTCTTCTACTTCTCTATGCACTTAACACCCAACTATGCCAATGAATTCTATTTGAATGCCCAACCTAAATGTCTCCTTTTTGTGAAGTCTTTTCCCAGGTCCCCAATCAGTACTAACTGCTAGTGCCTCTCCCCCATAGTTCTTTATCTCTATCACAGTCGAACTCATGTCTCAGCCTGACTTGTAACCTAATAGCTATGATAAATCTCTCTGGTGTGGGAGTATCTGAAGATCTGACACTGTTGTATCATTTCCTAATGTGCCTAGCCTCTAACACAAGATTTTCCAGTA